CCATGTCATGCTCTGCTTCTTCAACTCCTGTCATCGCCAGCCACTACAGTTTGCAGATGGTCTGAGCCTGCCCCCCAAGGACTCGTGTCCTTAAAGCTTGGTCTTTAGTGTGATGTTGAAAGGCTTAACTTTTAAGAGGCAGGGTTAGTGGAAGGTGGTAGGGCTCTGAGGGTGCTGCCTTAGAAGGGGATTAATGTAGTTTTCTCAGGACTCTGGTTAGTTCCCATAATAGTGAGTTGTTAAAAAAAAAAAAATGCCATCCTGGCTCCTGAGTCTCTCTGGCTTCCTGTCTCACCATGTGATCTCTCCCTGACATACACTTCCACCATGATACCATCCGTCATGTTGTGACAGCCAAGGAGGCTCTCGGCAGAGGCCAAACAGATTAGATTAGGTTGAATTTTCAACCTCATGGGATAAGTGAATCTGTTTTCTTTATAAAGTACCCAGGTCTGAGTATTTTGTTATAGCAACATAAACAGACTAAAATATCAGCTGACTTTAATGCTTTTTAACACTGTTTTCAAACTCTTGGACAGAGAGAGAGGATATGATCAGATGGACCTGTCGCCATTCAGAATCAAGTGGTTGGACAGAGCTCAACTCAGGACATGCATAAATCCCTTGCCAGCCTTAGCATAGTACCTTTGACTAAATTACCCATCCTCTTTGCTCTGGTTGTGATGCTGAAGCTACAGAATACACAGCATGGACCTTTTCAGAAGAAGACAGTGAGCAGGTGCTCTGGCCCCTTTAAGGAGAGCCCTATAAACTGCCTCACACCATACATTGCCTATTCAACATGCTTATTGAAAGTATATTATGACTCTCCCAAAAAAGGAATAGCAGAAAAGGAAGTCTGTCTGACTACCTTGGTACTCTCTTCCTGCTGACAAGGCATGACCGCTGTGCTAAACTGGTCCCACAGAGATGTCCAAGTCCTAATCTCCAGAACCTGGAAATGTGCTACCTCACATGGCAAAAGAAACTTTGCAGGTGTGCTACGTTTAACAACTTTGAGATAGGGCATTATCCTGGATTGGGTCCAGGTGGGCCCAGTGGACTCACAGTGGTTCTTCTAAGAAAAACTTGTGAGGTGTCATGGTGTGACCACAGAACTAGAGGTTGGTGTGATGTGCTTTTTGAAGATAGAGGCTTTCCGTAAGTCAGGTGGCCTCAAGAAGTTACAAATGACATGGAAATAGGTTCTCTGAACCCCGAGAAGGAATGCAGCCTTGCTGGTATCTCACACCTCCAGAGCTGTAGGGGAGTAAATGTGCGCTATCTTAAGCCATTACATTTGTGGTGATTTGCTACAATGGCAGAAAACTAACAGGCACATATGGATACTCAAGTTCTGTAAAGCTTTTGTTAAGCACTTAATTCGTGACACAAGAATCATCATGGGCCCCTATTTTAAACTCTTTGACCTCCATAAGGCTGTTGTAGAGCTAGATCAGCCACTGCTTTTAATTTGGGGTTGACTTCTAAGTCAGCTAGGATTATTTGTTATTTTTTATTTTGGATTATTTATTATTTTTCTGTTGCCAGTAAAATAATGGGAATTTATTAGCTCCAGTAACTGAAAAGTGCAAAGGTTGGGAAACTAGAGTGGGCTTGGCTGTATTCTGTGTGAATTCCTGGTTCTGTTCTCTTCCCATTGTCAGCATTGCCCTTGGACTCCTGTCCCCATCTCAAGATGGCTGCCAGGAAGCACTGGGCCATATGCTCTGACTGAACTGTTCTGGACTAAAGTGACCAGGAAATACTCCGTGTTGATTAGTTGAGGGCAGTCAGTAATCTCAGACAGATTTCCGGGTTACTCTCCTCAGTACAGGAAGGGGGCATTACAATTCCCCTAGAAAATCTGGGTGGTGGTAGGCAGAGGAAAGGAGATTTATAAATAATCAAGAGTCTGCTACAGTCAACAAAAAAATACATTGTAGTAATAAATAGTGTAAACGTTAGGTATGTAGTGCCTCAATAAAATATTTTAAATTTATATGTATCATGAAAAGTTCTGAATTTCAAAGACATTTCAGAGAAAATCTAAGAGTTCAGAGTCCTAGGAAGATGTTTTTCTCCTTTTTGCAATTTGGTGCTGGTTATTACACAGCAACTATTCGGTGACCTTCTTTGCTGACCTGTAAGGATTTCTTTCATCCTAGTACCAGTTTTTCATCATTCCCCATCATTATAGTTCTGATTGCAATGAATTAGACTGTTGCCAAAAGAAAACTGAGTAAATTGTCAGGCTGTCTTGAGTGAACATCTTCATGTAATGATTATTATCTCTGACATCATAATTGAGGTAGTTGGTTACTTAAGCAGAATAAAGATATGTGACATGCATGATGTTTAGAGACTTTTAGTGGGCAGTGATATTTTAAAATCTTCAAAAATGTGCTCATATAATTTATATAAAACCAAATATATTAAGCAGTTTATTGATTATACTAAGATTACATTAAGAGGATGGTAAAATTTTTAGAAAATCAACTATTTTCATGTATAGTAAGTCAGTTTTAGATTTTAGTTGCCTGACAAATTGTCCACCATAATTGATAATTTTGTAGGGCTGGTGGAGGGGCTTAAGTGATAGAGCATCTGTCTAGCAAGCATAAGCCCTGATTTCAAACCTTAATACCACCAAAAAAAATAAAAATAAAAAATACTTGATAATTTTGTAAGTGCCTTGGATCGTTAGCAGTGAGTGATGAGTTCTGTTAAGTGCTATGGGAGCCAAGATAAAAGATCCTCAAAACATACCATTAGTTGAAACAGAATTGGAGGACTATATTATTCATACACTTGCTATGTAGTTTTTTGACATAGCTTGATACAGTTTTTCACAAATTGCCTTTACAAAGAGCTTTGACTTTTATAGTATGCACATGATATGCAGCTGCAGGAACTCTGCTAGTTAAGATTTTTGAGGTAATTTAGAGCACAGCAGAAACACCTGGAACTCTGAGATGATACCCATCTCCCCAAGACATGGTGCTGGTTCTCTGCAGTGAGGCCAGTGCATCTGTCCGTTGATAAGCTCTCCCAGGCAACTCTAGTGAGTATCAGAGTTTGAGAACCACTAACTTAGAGAATTTTAAATAGCACACAGAAGGGCACACCTGAGAAAAAGAGAGAGAATGCATAAACCAGCAAATGGTATAAAATGTTCATACAAGGTGTCAGCATTCTCAGAAAAAAAAAGTCATTAAGGATCCTTTTAGAAAACATGTTTATTACTAATCTAACCTTCATTCTCCCATGTGGTGGATGGAAAGGACTAGACTTTGACCACAGTGCTTTCTCTAGGCAGGATGAGTATTAACTGAATGTGTAAATAAAGATCCATCTGCACTCAGGAGAGCAGGTACTTAATCCTATCAGAGAACTGAACATGCTAATTTACTTTTAAAGTCTGCCAGGTTATAAAAAGAAGCAATATATCTTGCTTTCTAAACCCCTTTTGACTTTCCAAAGTAATTTCACATTTATTAACTTTTCTCATTGATACGTTTCAAATTTTAATAGTATTCATTGCCAACAAAATATTTTTTAACCCCAGTCACAGAAGAAATGCTAGAACCTGGCAGTAATATGGGCTTAAGTTGGCATGGAAAGTATTATATTCAAAATGTAATATTTGGACCACTTCAAATAAGTGGGGGAAAGATAGGCTATCTAGTAAATGGTGTTAGGCTATCCATTTGGCAAATAAAACTACACAAAATAATCCCAGACAGATGAAAGAGTTAAATACAGAGAAAGAAAGAATTTAGAAGTCAGGTGCTGATGGCTCACTACTATAATTCTAGCTACTCAGGAGGCAGAGATCAGGACGTTTAAGATTCAAAGCCAGTCTAGGAAAACAGTTCATGGGACCCTATCTTGGAGGAAAAAAACGAAAGAAAGAAAGAAAAACCAACATAAAATAGGGCTAGCGGAGTGGCTAAAGTGGTAGAGTTTCTACCTATCAAGCTTGAGGCCTTGAGTTCAAACCCCAGTACCACCAAAAAAAAAAAAAGAAAATTTAGAAGACAACTCAAGGGATGGGGCCTTCTTAAGGAAAATCCCAAATCCAGAAGTCATAAAAAGAACTACTGGGAGGTAATGTATTTTCATAGGTAAAGACTGAACTCTGATTTTAGACAACCTAAGTTCATTTCTATTTCTTCTTTCTTATTAGCTGTATGATCTCGGAACTAAAAATATCCTATTAATATTCAAAAAGATGTTTACTCAATGAAATACATAGAATAATGAGCTCTCGTTCCTGCCTCCTAAGTTGGCAAAAATGGAAAAAGAATTGGAAAGAGTTTGGTGAAGAAGAGTCTGGTACAGACAGTCCCTCCTGTTCTGGTGGAATATGTAAATCAGTAAAGCCTCAGCACCTGGGAGACTGAGGCAGGAGGATCTTGGTTTCAAAGCCATCCTGGGCTACATAGCCAGATCCTGTCTTGAAGAATGGAAGGAAAGCTCTTTTTGAAGGGTGAATCGGCAGTGTCTGTTGAAGGTTAAAATGAGCATGTCCTTTGACTCAGGAATTCCAGTTCTGAGTATCTATCCTAGAGAAATAAGCATTTAAAACTAAGTATGACTCAAAGGTAAGAGTGCTTATCTAGCATGTATGAGGCTCTGAGTTGAACCCTCAGAATTGCAAAGGAAAAAAGGAGTGGTGGGGGACTCAGTATCTACTAGTCTTTAGTGAGGCATTATTTGCAATAGCTAAAAACTGTAGTAAAATAAATGCTTATCAATATGAGAATTAACATCTTGTATGTGAGAAAGAGATCTTTTTTTGAAAATCCATAGGTGTCTATAATTTTACAGTAAAAGCTGCTGGAAATAGTTTTAGATAATATTTCCCCTGGAAATTGTTAGCTAGATAGTATTTTATAATACTAATACTAAGAAGCACTTTCAAGGCATAACTATTTTCATCAAACCACACCTTGAATGTCTTTGTATTTTAAAAAATTGCATCTACTTTTTTGCAGAATGGAATCAAACTGTAACCCCATGGAGCTAAGCAGCATGGCAGGATTTGAGGAAGGTTCAGAGCTCAATGGTTTTGAAGGAACCGATGTGAAGGACATGAGGCTAGAAGCTGAAGCAGTAGTAAATGACGTTCTTTTTGCCGTTAGCAACATGTTTGTCTCGAAAAGCCTGCGCTGTGCAGATGATGTGGCCTATATCAACGTGGAGACCAAGGAGAGGAACAGATACTGCCTGGAGCTCACTGAAGCAGGACTTAGGGTAACTTACTTTTCTTTTTAGAAAAGGAAGAAAAAGTAAATCTTTACCACTTTGTCAAAAAGGATGGGGAGAGTGGGAGGGAAAAGTGTTAAGTAAAACACAGACATTCAGTAGCTTCCAAAATATTTTTATGAAAAGTGTCGAAGTTGGCACCAGTGGCTCCTATCTGTAATCCTAGCTATTCAGGAGGCAGAGATCAGGAGGATTGTGGTTCAAAGCCAGCCCAGGCAAATAGTTCGTAAGACCCTATCTCGAAAAAACCCATCTCAAAAAAAAATGGGCTAGTGAAGTAGCTCATGGTGTAGGTCTTGAGTTCAAACCCCAGTACTGCAAATAAACAAACAAGTAAAGTGTCCAAAGGAAAAAAAAGACAACATATTTAAATTTTTCCCATTAATTTTTAGTAATTTTGATCAACAGGGGAAAATTGAGTTTTATAAAAAGATGAAATTTATTTGCAAGATGTTATTTGGCTTTACTCTTCACCTCCAAAACTAATTTACTTGTCATCTGTAGCTAAGTGTATCCACCAAAATTATTCGTTCTCTGTGATGAGAGTTTTGCAGTCATTGTGTTGAAAGACTCTTTTTCCACCTCTCATTTCCGTTTCTTCTTTTAAAACAAGATTCTAGGCCAAGTGGTGGTATGTGCCTGTAATCCCAGCCACAGGGGAGGCAGAAACAGGAGGATCAAGGCTCAAGGCCAGTCTGGGCAAAAATTAGCAAGACCCTATCTCAAAAACAAGCCAGGTGTGGTAGTACTACTGAGGTCCAACTACTTTCAGACAGAGATAGGAGGATCGAGGTTCCAGAGCAGCCAGGGCAAAGTCAGTGCTAGACCCTATCTGACAAACAAACTAAAAATGCAAAAGGGCTGGGGCATGGCTCAAGTGGTAGAGGGTTGCCCAGAAAGCACAAGGCACTAAGCTTGCTCCCCAGTAAAACACACACACACACACTCACATACCCCAAGATTCTTTGGCTGAGGATTTAGCTCAGTCAATGACTAGCATGCATGAGTACCTGGGTTCAATTACCAGCACCACTAAGTAAGTTAAATAAATAAATAAACAAACAGATAAGATACTTGACTCCACTGTTTTCCAACTGTTACCTCAGAATGAAAACAGCAGAACATTGTACTCACAGATTGCCTGAGTCTCCACTGGCACTTTCTCACCAGCATCTCTATTCCAAGTGAGCTCGTCTAGACAAATTGCCTTTCCACAGCCTTTAAACCAGAATTCCTGAGTTCAGAATACAGAAAGCATTACCTGAGAGCAACTTTAAACAGAAAAAAAAAAAAAATACCATGAAGAACTTACTGAACAAAGGGATAGGCATTAGAAAATCTGAAGTTCAGTTTTAACCTTATGAATCAGTTAATCTTTAGTCTTGGTGAAAGACATGTGACTTCTGTGTGTTTTCACACCTGTCATTGCACATGACCATGAGGTAGAGGGCAAGGCGTAAGCAAGTGAGAATGTCACACGATACTGTGTTAACAATACAGGATGAGTCATGGGTGGTGGGTGCACAAGGCCAGCATCTTTACTGTGTCAGTCCCCACACAAGTGCACATGGCAGCTGCTTAGCTTAAGAGTAGCATCTGCACTCTCCAGTTCTTATGCACCCCTTCCAAAATCCCTAATGCCTTCTAAAAGCTGTAGTGCATCTTAAGTAGACGTAGGCAAAAAAGCAGAAAGAGTGACTAGAACTCGGAAATGAAATTTAGAGATAAATGATCAAGGAAAATTAATTCTGTCTTACATTGGTTAATTCTAAGGTGGCTGAAGAGAGGTAGAAGCAGTTTTGATGGACAGAAACCTTAAATGTGAGTGATCTTGGGTGAGTCAGTCTTCTGTAAGTCAATTCTTTATCTGAAACCCGGAGATTAAAAAAATAATTAAAAAGATTTGGGAGATGATTGTATGAATGAATGATACAGAAAAATCTGGACCTGCTGTAAAATCCACATGTAGTAGGCACTCAGATATTTTTCAGTCTGACTGACTTGACGTTTATTAAGCAACTATCCTGTGTCAGCAGTTGGAAATCAAATGAATGAGATGTGACTAAGACATGACCCCTGTCCTCCATGAAGATCACAGTGTAGCAAGGATGAGAGAAGGGCAAATGGCATTGTGCCACACTATAGAGAGTGTAGGAGTATGGATTTTTCTGAGGTTCCTGCCCCTAATTTTCATTTAAAAAAAAAACAAAAACTACTTAGCTTCTATTTCTAACAAAAACTTGCATCATCTGTGGCTTAAGTAAATGTCATTAATGTAGAGTTTATGCAAAGGGGTTACAAGCTTTCATCAAGCCAACAACAATTACAGAACACCTCCCTATCAAATCAGTAAACAGTAAATTTAGCCGGGTACTGGTGGCTCATGCCTGTAATCCTAGCTACTCAGGCGGCACAGATTAAGAGGATTATGGTGTGAAACCAACCCCCAGCAAAGAGTTCTCAAGATCGTATCTCAAAAATATCCAACATAAAAAAAGGGGAGTCAAGCAAAAAAAAAGAGTGGGTCAAGCAGTAAGAATGCCTGCCTAGCAAGTGTGAGGCCCCGAGTTCAAACCCCAGTGCTACCAAAAAAAAGATCTGTTTCTATGCCATTTTAAGGAGTAAAAGTGTGTAAATCAAACCTTTTAAAATTTGTAAAGTGGCCTTTAAGGAGCATTTTTCAGTGTTCCTGTGTTATATGTTATAAATTGCGTAAGTACTAAAGGTTAGGGGGTGGTTGGTTGGTTGTTTTTGTGGTATTAGGGTGGTTTGAACTCAGGGCCTTGCACTTGCTAGACAGGTGCTCTACCAAATAAACCACACCCCAGCCTTAAAGATAGTGTTTAAATGTGCAGATCCTATTAATGGGTAAAAAATGTCATTGGAGAATGATCCATGCAAACACTTGGCTTTTGCCTTCTGTGCCAAGAGGGAAAGTAACTACTGAACTCTTCGTAACTCCTCTCCTAGGTGGTAGGCTATGCTTTCGACCAGGTGGACGATCGTCTACAGACTCCCTACCACGAAACCGTCTACTCCCTGTTGGATACGCTCAGCCCTGCCTACCGAGAAGCATTTGGAAATGCACTTCTTCAGAGACTGGAAGCTTTGAAAAGGGATGGGCAGTCCTGACTGAGCTCTTCCTTTTAAAGGGGGATGCTGCTGGTATAGAATGTTGACATAAAACTTGAAACTTTCGCATATGCTCATAGGAGAAAGTGCATCTTTGCTTTTGTGTGTTTATCATTTGCTTTGAATTTAGGCTTTTGATTCGACATTATTAATGAAAGAATTGTCTTAGTTTCTGATTCATTGAGAGAACTCTGAGGCCATTGCGTGACACTATCATAAAGACTTTCAAATTCCTTCATGTAATTTCTGTGCATTTCAAAATCTAATCAGTATTTTACTCTCTTATTCCAGGGCTTTGATGCTGCCAGCACTGTCTTTTCCATAGGAAATTCTAGATTTGCACAGTAATACAGGAACTAGAATTCCCTAACTCCAAACTTGGACTCAGCCTGCTAAATCGGAGCTTTTCTTCTAGCTTGGACTGACTTTGAAGTGATTATTTTGCTACTAGCCTTATTGGAAACAAACTACCATCTAGTTTCCCCTGCACAAATTTTGAAATTTACTGCTTCATTTAATCTGTTTATATTACTAATATGGATTGATGAAGGTGAATTATATATTACTTAACTAGTGTTAAATGAAAAACGAACTGCAATAGTTCCATATTCCTCATTTTGCAACAGCCAGCCAACTAAGCAGAGGACAAACCGTTAGCAAATGAATGTAATAATTACTCGTTTCCAAGATATCTAAGCACATAAGCAAATCAAGAACATACTCCATTCTCAACAAAAAGCATCCTTGATGTCTATGATTTAAAAGGAAGAAGTTTCTGGTTTCCTGGAAAATAATATTTTGGCCTGTGTTGATTCTTATTCTGAATGTTTGTTTACACAATGTACAGTATATATATATATATATATATATATATATATATATATATATTCAGAAAGTATTTTTGCTTCAATGTTTACTTTCTATAATGTAGTGCTTTGGTATTCCCGTGGCACCCCTCCTTCCCCAGCAGATGGACAGTGTTCTGTCTCAGTGCTAAATGTGCGATGTAATTGAGTGCATTGTATGGGTTTGAAACCAAAGGATGAATGAAGCATTCAGAGACTTACTATTTGAAAAAAGAGATACTCTGTATTTTATATTTTATTACAAGTACTGATATTTATAAATTTAATAAACTGTACATGCAGCTGCATGTTTTCAAGTACATGAACAGTAAAGACGGGGGAGTTGTTTTGTAATAGTCACCTAAAGCAGCTGCTATAGAAATGTTGAACTAAAATTCTGCATCTGGATGCACCTTCATAAACTTGTCATGCACTAATTCTTTTTGGTCATTATTTTTAAAATGGGCATCTTTCGGCTTGAGCTCAGGAAATGGCTCAGCCTGTAGCTTGGTGGTAGAGCACTTTCTTCCCTCACATGAGTGAAGCCCTGGGTTCAATCCCTTGGACCGGAAAAGTGAGGAAAAACAAAACGTGGACCATAGCTGATTAAAGTTGCATCATGTCACTATTCCTGTTCAGTTTCCTTGGAATGCTGTCGTCATGTTTAACAATGCACATTCATCCTCAGCATTTTATTTTCAGATGCTTAACTGTTTGAGCAACGAAGTCTAACTTCAGGTTGAATTTTCTCATGCTTAATCTCAGGCTAAATGTAAATGATATTTGTAAAGTTTGAATAAAATTGTGTTTACTCCCTTTTGAGCTAAGTATGAAGAAAAGCAATTTTATGTTTTAAAATTCAAATTCTTCATTTTGTAACAAATGATTGATTCCAAGAGCTCTGTTTCCATATTTTGAATTCTACACTGGTACATTTTTTGAAGTGAATGAATGAGTTGCTTTTTTTATTGCTGTGAAAGAGGAACAGAAAAAGAGGACAGTAGGAAAACTATACACATGAAAACGTGGACATTAAAACCTCCATTTTAACCTAAACCATTTATAGAACTTAACCAAATTAAGCTTTGATTTTACCTCTAAGGAGGAAAAAAAAAGAAATCCTCTAAAGTGTACAAATCAGTGAGAGGAAAACTGAACAAAAAAGGAGAAAAAATGGGTAAATAATATCAGATAACTCAAAAAATATGGAACATCTTTTTTGAAAGATGTTTAAAACGGAAAAAATAGAGAAAAAAATGAAATGTTCAAACCAACTCGTAATATGAGAAGGGAAAATTAATTGAGATGGGATAAGGTGGATAAGAAAAAGCAATAAAGGGGTGATTATCAAAGTATTTATACAGATACAAAAGTGGGCCATTTCACCTATTTTGTAATTTCTCTTATTTAAATAAACTACCAGGATTTAATGAGGGACACTCTTACATTCGATTGTAGAATATATTGATGAAACCTTTCTGGAATAATTAGTAATAGAGCCTTTACAAAAATTATAACCTCTGGAGCCAGGCATGATGACATGCACCTCTAACCCCAGCTACTTGGAAGGCTGAGGCAGGAGGATCACAAGTTCAAGGCCAGCTTGGGCAGTTTAAGAGACTGTCTCAAATAATAAGGAGGGTTGGTCATGGCATGCTTGCCCGGCATGTGCAAGGAAGGCCCTGCATTCCATCCCCAGCACTATCACAGGGAAGTGATTCAACAAACGACAGACTACAAAGAACATTCACTTCCTCTCATGAAAAATTGGCCAGGCTCTAAAGAGCAGTAAATTATGCAATATCCTTTTGGTGGAAAAATATGCAATGGTCAAAAATTGGGGAAAAACAGCAATGGGGAAAAATCACTACCTGAAAAATTATAAAAGTACATGCCATAAATCTATTTTGAAAACATGCTACAGAAGGCCAAATGAAATTAATATTCTAAAATGTTAGCATCACTAGGTGGTAAAATTTATACTTGTCATTTTATACTTTTTCACATTTTCGGTATTTGCTTGAATGAACTAATTAGAAGGAGGAAATTTGGGGCTGAAGGTGTGTCTCAGTAGGCCCTGGTTTCAAACCCCAGCACTGGAAAAATAAGGCATGGAGAGAGGAGGGAGATGCAATAGCTGTGGGATTTAAGCTAGCTGAAGAATGTTTCAGCAAAAGCATTCTTTTGCTCCCAGGAATTCTATCTGCTCCAAGGCAGTATGATAGTGAAGAGAAAAGAGCCCCTTATTTCCTATGACACATTCCCCACCTTTTCTCCAGAACCCAAACAGCAAATCAGCTATTAGTGGTATACACTTCTCATTAGTTTCTTCCACCACACACTGCACTACTCTCTCCAGTATTCAAAACGTTAAATGCGCTGTTTGATTACTTGCTAAGAGGAGACAATAAGAAACACAGGCTTTGAAATGTGCCACTTGGACTTTAGAACTCTCCCTTCAACCTCTTTAATCTAAGGATGGCAAAGCTGAGACTGGAATAGAGGGACTTGCTCAGCAGCTCACCTGGGAGCAGTGGAGTTAGATTAGAACACAGGTCTTCTGACTCCATACAACATGTTAATAAAAGCCACTTGAGTTAACATTGTTATATGTAGGCTCTTTTTGAAAGAGGGAAAGAATAAAAAGAGAAGAATCTCCTTTCCATAGAGATAGTAGGTGGATGGATGGATAGATAGGATAATGATTAGATAGATAGGATAGACAGATGAAGATAATTTCTGGAAGCCATCCTCTTTGTAACTGTGGAGCGCATTTACATGTTATCAGCATAAATAAAATGAAGCAAAGGTCAGTTATAGTACTGTAGGTGACTATGAAAAACTTGCAAAGTATTTACCTGTCTTACTGCACATCAATCCATAATGCAGAGACAAACTAAAAATTGGAAAGTGAGAAGTCAAGTGAATTTTAGAATATGTGAACTAACATCATTTGAAAGAATGCTGAAGTATATTGATTCCAAGTTTTGCACTAGTCTTGCATGAAAATCACATTTAAATTGGCAGTATTTTCTTGTGCTACAAACAAGCTTTTCCCAAATTAAGATGGCAAAATTTCAAAGTGTTCATTAGTTTGCCAAGACAAAGAAGTTTCAATGAGTTTGTAGGTATAAAAAAGAAAAAGTGGGTGGGAACAAAAATATAATGTAGTGTTTGGTTTTTGTGTGTGTGTGTGTGTGTGTGTGTGTGTGTGTGCCAGAGATGGAATCCAGGGTCTTGTGCATCTAGGCAAGTGCTCTACCAGTGACCTACATTTCCATCCCTAAAAAGATGAAGTTTCCTGTTTGTTGAAGTGTGCCTCGGCCTTGCCGAAAATGAGCAATAATTTCACCTATGGGAATCACTTTAGAAAATATATTTGTAATGTTTTATTTAATCCTAACATTCCTTTTAGGCTGTAGGATCACTTCCGGTTTGCAGCCAATTTAACAGCTGGGGGAAGGTTAAAGCACTAGTCCCAGTCACCCACAAATGGATCAGTGCTAGAACTCAAAGCCCAATCTCCTGAGTGCTTGACAGCCCAGAGCTTCCAAGCTATCTGAAGATCCTGGACCACCTCCATTTATTTTCAGGCAGCCAGTATGAAAAACAAGGAGCTATAAATGTGGTGCAAGCCTGTAATCCCAGCACTCCGGAGGCCAAGGCAGAAAAGTCATGAGTTCAAGGCCAACATGGACTCTACATTAGGGAGACCGAGTCTCAAAATTAAAAAAAAAAAAAGAGGAACCACCACATGTTATTTACATTTAACAGGTTTTAAACAAAACAAATATTTCAAATTAATCAGACCGTTTATTCTGAGACAACTGTAGGATATATTCATAGTCCCTGGATGTTGGATGTTATTTTTTAATCTGTCACTTATTTCAGCACTTCATGAATAATCTCATCTCGAAAGAAAGTCTTCTGTGAATGTGAGTGGATCCTGGGCACAAATGGCCTCTTAGTCACCCCCACCTAACCCCCAGAATTTTTTCCTGAACTGCTTAACCAAACAACCCCACTTGAGCCCTGTGGACCAAGTAGCAACTGGTTGAACAGTGCTGACCACTCACGCTGTTGTACTGCTGTCCTGGACCCCAAAACTCTGACAACCGCTTTCTTTTGTAATAAAGGGTTGTGACGTTGTCCGTCCCACAGGAGGACCTTGAGTAACTCCCACTGTTCAGGGGAAGCCTAGGCTGTGGTCAGTGTCATCAGTAGTTTTAGTCATCCGACTCCAGGGGATCTGGGATGTGTTTCCAGAGTTTCCAAACAAAAGCGATGAAAGGGAACAAGAGACCACAATGACTCCTGGGACAGATGCCCATAGAGGGTCCCAAAGAGGACGCGCTCTGGGACACACAGCGGGTAGCAGGGCAGAGCGAAACCTCGGTGTGCGCCTCCCAGGGAGCAGCGCTCACGCACCGTCACCTGCCCAGAGTCGCCGCAAAGATCCTGCGTCCCCTAACAGTGGGCGGGAACTCCCGCCCAGCCCGACCCGCCACCTGCAGAGCCTAAGCAGAGCTGAGCCAAGCCGGGTCCGACACGCCCCGCCCAATACCCTCATCCGGCCCAGAGCCCGAGCCCCGCCCCCGTCCAGCCCCCCCAACACACTAGTCCCGCCCAGAGCCCGAGCCACGCCCACTCAGGGCCCAAGGCCCGCCCCGTCCAGCCCCGCCCCCAGAGAACCCGACAGGCTCAGCCCCCCGCGGCCTGGGCCCGCCTCCTTAGCAACCGACTGGACTCTTTCACCTTAGCAACAAGCGCAGCTCCCACCATGGCTGAAGAGGAAATTGTTGCCCAGACCGAGAAAGTTATCCGGATGCAGAGGGTGTTTATAAACCTGCTGGACACCTACAGCAGCAAAAACATCGGAAAGGTGAGTGGCGGCGGCCCAGAGCCCGACCCCAGCCCGCGTCCCCAGCAAGGGCCTGTGTCATCAGGCGTTAATGGGGCCACCCGTGAGGGAGATCTCATGTCCTGGACACCCGGGACCGACCCCGTCAGCAAGACAAGTAGTCCCACTTGGAAGCTCAGGTGTTTGGAGATTGCAGGTCCAGCCTTGGTTCCTATCCTTTTAAGTGTGGGGAAATGGAAGCTCAGAGGTAGGAAAGGGCTTGCTAAGATCATATAGAGAGTACCGGGCAGGACCTGGGGAAGGCACCGATGAAAAAAGAAGTCTGATCGCTATGTTATCCATAAAGCATTTTCATTCATCCGGTTTTTTTCACCATCTATCATGTGCCGGCCACGGTTTGGGACCCCAAGTTGCAGTAAACTTTCTCATCTTTGAACCAAGAAAATGAAGATAATCTAAAGGAGAGCCCACGGACCTTCATCTTGAATTGCTCACACACCAAAAGAAAGCCATGGCTGCATCATTTTCCCTGGGTAGAACCCATATGATTTGAATTGTCCCCTGGAGTGACACAGAAGTCTGACCTTATCCTGGGAAGACTTCTGTGAGACTAAGGATCACACTTCAAACAAGACAACCCTGCCTACACTAGGATAAGCCTACAGTGCATACCGTCTGCACTGGCTTGACAAACCAAGTGGCTTAAAACAACAGAATTGATTCTCCCATGGTTCTTGAAGGCCCAAGTCCAAAACCAATGTGTCAGCAGGGCTGGGTCCCACTCGAGCCTCTAGAGGAGACTCTGCCATATTTCTCTCCTGGCTTCAGCAATCACCAACCATTCTTGGTATCTCTTGACTATAGACCCATTGCTCCAGTCTCTGTCTTCTCCCTCACATGGGGTTCTCCCCTCTATCTGTGTCCAAATTTCCCTCTTCTAAGGCCCACCATAATCCCATAGGATTTCATCTTCACTTGATTTCGTCTGCAAAGACCCTATTTCCAAATTAGGCCACATTATACTAAAAGTCAAAAACAGAGGCTTAGGTGTATAATTTATACATAAAAAATATATGATGGTACTAGAGTTTTGAACTCAGAGCCTCATACTTGCTCTAGGCAGGCACTATACCATCTAAACCAAGCCCCCATCCCTTTTTGCTTTACTTACTTCAGGGATAGGGTCTCCCCTATTTTGCTCAGGCCAACCTAGACTGCTGTCCTCCTATTTATGCCTCCTACGTACCTGGGGTGACAGGCAAACACTACCATGCCCAGTTTACTGGTTGAGATGGAGTCTTGCTAACTTTTTTGATTGCGCTGGCTGAAACAGTAATCCTCCTGATCTTTGCCTCCTGAGTAGCTGGAATTACAGGTATGGCCCACGGCTCCTGGCTAAAAATTACATATTTTGATATAGCATGTAACTGTATATATCTACTAGAAGAGACTCAAAACACACCATACATCTCCCAAATTACCAGAAAAGGTAAGAAAGAAGAGACAGTGAAAGGGCGCTGTTTCTTGCACTCCCTCCCTGCTGGAGCGAGGTTTTTTTCTCTCTTTGGTTATTACTGGACCTAACTGGGCGCGACTGGAGATTCAGAAAAGACACAGGATAGACAGACAGACAGTGGGGTCAGGTGTGTTGTACGCTCAGCTGGAGACGCCCAACCCTCATTGCGTCTCTTCTCTATCTTGATTCTTTAAGGCCTGTCTCCCTGCAGCTCTTTAAAATCTTGCTTCAAACCTCTTTCCTTAGGCCGCACTGTCCCATGCTTGCTCTCAGCTTATCTTTAGCTTAATCGCTCCAAAAGTCTTTTGCCGCAGGCTTGCACCGTCTCATCTCTCTTTAGCTCTCTCAAAGCCTCAGTGCTCAAACTTGCAAAAAGCCGCGCCTACAACCTGCGTATGCACAACTCTTGAAGTCTTGTCCTTAGACTTGCACGGTGCACTGTCCCGTGCTCTCTTTGGCTTTTCTTTAGCTTTCCTAAGGCCTCTGTATGATGTTCTTTCTCAGCTTTGCTTTCCAAAGCCTATGTTAAAGTTCTCGGTGCAGACTTTCTATCAGCCCCTCTTTAGCATTTTCCCTTTAGCAATTCTTTTTCCTTCCAAACGCTTCCCACACCAAAAAGCCCAAAGTAAAGCCCCCAAAGCGAAAAGCAGAAAGCAAATGCCACTCTTCCTCCTTCAGGGGTCTTTTATAGCAGCAAACAGGGTAGAGCAGGGGAGGGGTGTGACATTGCAACAGGAGAATCCTGTGTTCCTGCTTCTCTGAACACAGTTTAGGAGATGCAGCTGTCATGCCTTTCCCTGTTTCGTGGTGGCCAGGGGCTGTGCGTATCTTGGCCTACAGGTAAAAGCAATGAACTGCATCTCACCTTGCTTGTGTCCAGTTCTCATAGGCTTTAATCCGCTCCCCCGAAAGACAGGACACAAACAAAACTAAAACAATTTAGTAACAAAACTTTTTAAAGGAAGGAAGCATTAAAAAGACAGGTATAGCCAGGTGCAGGTGGCTATACCTGCAATCCTAGCTACTCAGGAGGAGGATCGTGGTTCAAAATCAGCCCAGGCAAATAGTTCACAAGACCCTATCTCAAAAACACCCTTCACAAAAAAAAGCTGGTGGAATGGTTTAAGATGTAGGCCCTGATTTCAAACCCTGGTTCCAAAAAGACAGGTATAGGCTGGGGAATAGTGCATGCTTAGAATGTACAAGGCTCTGGGTTCAATCCCCAGCAACATATCCCAAAAAAACATAGGTATAATGCAAGCTCATCTGTGTTTTTCAAAAAGGTAAGTATAGATAGAAAGAAAATGAGAGGGAGAGAGACATCATCTATACACAGAAAATGTCTCAAATGCTGCCCAAGACACTGTTAACTATCCTCACCTCTGAAGGACTGGTAGATCCATGAGCACCTATGACATGCTAGGCCCAAATCATCCACAAGGACCCTGCCCCTCCCAGAAGGACACATGCAATCATGCTCTGAATAAGGAAGCTATTTCAATGTGCAATAAGTACTCTGAGGGTGGGAAAGAGCAGTTTTGTGGAAGAGCTCTTATGAATGGTGCACTGATCTGACATTCTGAGACCAGAGTGGCTGGGGTGCCGTGGACCAACCAGGGCCAACTTCTCAGCAGGCATGGTGGGCACTGTCTGTGCCCAGAGCCCACAAGACTTTCAGGCACCTGCAAAAGTAGGTGTCTAAATTTTAATTTATTTTAAAACCAGAAGGAAACAAATGAAATTTTATTGTCAAAAATGATGTTTGACTTCACAGCATGCAGTTATAAAAATTTTCGGTGGTACTGGGGTTTGCGCTCAGGGCTTTGTGCTTGCTAGACAAAATACAATTTTTAATACTTTTTATGAAGGAAGAGACCCACGAAGATCAGTCACAATGTGGCCATCCTTGGCTTCTAAACATTGACACATGTGGACAGCGCCCCATCAATACTTGTTGCATAAATCAATGAAGCAGAGTCACACACACAGAAGGCCAGCTGGCGTGTGGCCTCGCTCCGCAGTTTGGTTTATCTTCTAAATCCAACAGAAAGCTGGAGGAGTAATACTTTCATGATAAAACCTCTGCTTCTGGTATGCAGGGCTCTTTCTTTTTTTTTTTTTTTCATTTTTCTTTTATTATTCATATGTGCATACAAGGCTTGGTTTATTTCTCCCCCCTGCCCCCACCCCCCCCCTTACCACCCACTCCACCCCCTCCCGCTCCCCCCCTCAATACCCAGCAGAAACTATTTTGCCCTTATCTCTAATTTTGTTGTAGAGAGAGTATAAGCAATAATAGGAAGGAACAAGGGGTTTTGCTGGTTGAGATAAGGATAGCTATACAGGGCATTGACTCACATTGATTTCTGCAGGGCTCTTTCTTAAAAGCTTTCAATAATGGAATTTTTCCAGTTAGTCTGTAATTAACCAGAGCCTCTCCTTCTCAAATTCTGGGTAACTGCTGCTAATCTGTACTAAGCAACCTGGAAATAGGACTAGGAAACACAAAAGAAAAGGAAGCTGTGTCTCTTGTTTTCGGTCTTACAGCTCAGTCGGACAATGCTGCTTCTCTGTCCCTGTGATCTTGGTCAGGTTAGCCATTGCTGGCCATCCATTTCTCCTCGGAGAAATGGGATGATAAGATTGAACGTGTATGTTTCAGATATAAGTGAAAATATATATCATGTACTTGAGAGAAGTATATTCCAATAAAGGGTTGACACTGAATGTTACATGCTAACTTGGATGCCTTTTTACCAAAACAAGTGTTTGGTTGTTTTTGTTAGGTTTTTGTTCCCAAGGTATGGTAATGTCATGATTTATTTATATTTTATAAAATATAAATAAACTTATATATCATAAATGATTATTGAAGTCTCAAACCCACCAGAAGGGGGAAACCTGGGCTGTGTGGTTCCGAAGTATAATCTGGGTTATAAAGCACCAGTAGTGTTTCTCAAAGACCCTTGAGGGACACAAGTGAAGGAAGCTGGTAAAGGGGAAGACCTGTGAGGAAACCAGACAGGTTTATCTCATGGTTGAGATAAATGACAGTCCCTCAAGATCTAGTTCCTTATGAGAAAATGACCATAGTACCTATTGTCTATGAGACAGGAGAAATGAGGATTAAAGTGAAATCAATATGGGAAGTGGTCATGACGTCAGGGCCCCATTGAAACAGAGGGATGAGCCAGGCATGGTAGTAGACACCTGTAACCCCAGTATTCCTGTAATCCAAGTATTTGGGAGGGTGAGGCAGGAAGATGAAGAGCTCAAGGCTAGCCTGGGCTAGGTAGGAAGACCATTTCAAAAAAACATACCAGCCAGGCATCGGTGGCTCTTGCCTATAATCCTAGCTACTCAGAGGGCAGAGAACAGGAGGATCACAGTTCAAAGCCAGCCCAGGCAAATAGTTTGCAAGACCCTATCTCAAAAAACCCTTCATGAAATTAGGGCTGGTGAGTGGCTCAAGGTGAAGGCCATGACTTCAAGCCTCAGTACCAGAAAAAAAAAAAATCAAAAATAATTATTTACATATGTAAATGAAATTCTTTCTTTCTTTTTTTTTTCTTCACTTTTTTTGTGGTACTTGGAATTGAACTCAGGGCCTGGCACTGGCAAGGCAAGTGCTCTACCACTTGAGCCACATCCCAAGTCAAAATTGAAACTGGTTTGGTTTTTTTTTTTCTTTTTTCTTTTTCTAGAGAATCTGGCTTCTATTTTTGCACTTGAGCCCTGTCAGCCTCATAAATGAAACTGTTAAACAGCAAATAGGCCACTCCCAAAGATAGCTTCTATATTAAACAAGAAAAGAAACAGGGCTGGAGGCATGGCTCAAGTGGTAGAGTGCATGCCTAAACCCTCAGCAATGCCAAAAAAGAGAAAGAAATGTGCCCAGTTTTATTTTTATTTTTAGACTTTTCATCACTGTGACAGAATACCTGACAAAAACAATGTAAGGAAGAAAAGACTTATTTGGGCTCCTGATTTCAGAGGTTTCAGTCCATAGTCTTGGATCTGTTGATTCTGGGCTGGGGGCGACACAGAACATGGTGGCAGGAACATGTGGCAGAGTGTATATTCACTGCATGGTGGAAAGCAGAGGGCGAAGGGCCTCGGACAAAATCTAGCTCCCAAGGACACATGATGACCTACTTCCTCCAACTAGGCCCACATTTAAAGCTTCCAGAACCTCCCAAAATAACACCACCAGCTGGGAACCAACCCTTGAATACGTGAGTCTTTTGAGGGGGACACTTCTTATCTAAACCATACCAATTCTGGTCCACTATTTGAGTAGCTACGGTCCACCTGTGGCCATTGAACACTTCGATAGGACTGGAGAAGTGCCGTAAGTGTGAATGCACATTGAATTTCAAAGACGTGGCATTTGTAAAAAGGATGTCATATGTCTCAATAATAGTTATAGGGACTCAGTGGTAGAGAACTTACCTAGTATGCATGAGGCCCTGGGTTTGATTCCCAGCACCACAAAAAAATAATTTTTATATTGATTACATATTAAATTGATAATATTTTGGATATGTTGGATTAAGTAAAACACTGAGAGCTAGAGATATAGCTCAGGAGTAGAGCACTTGCCTACCCATGCTTAAGGATCTGCATTTGATCCCCAGCACTAAAGAAAAAAAACTAAAATTTTTATTTCATCTGTTCCTTTTTACTTTCTAAATTTTTTTAATGTGGCTATTAGAACAATTGAAGTACCAAAATGGCTCATATTACATTTCTATATTTCAATTGAGCAAGACAAATCTTCCCTAGAGCCCTGGGGAAATGCCCTTCAACAAGCGGCTTGTACCACGTGCCAGTGGCTCACGCTTGTAATCCTAACTACTCAGGAGGTAGAGATCAGGAGAATTTCAGTTCAGGCAAATAGTTTGGGAGACTCTATCTTGGAAAAACCCATCACAAAAAAGGGCTGGTGGAGTGGCTAGAGGTCTAGGCCCTGAGTTCAAATCCTAGACTGCAAAAACAAAAAAAACCCAGCGATTGTTTGAGCTCACTGACTCTAAAAAAAGCTCCTGTCTGATGCCCACTATCTCCACTCCTATTCAACATAGTACTGGAATTCCTAGCCAGAGCAATTAGGCAAGAAGAAGGAATAAAAGGAATACAAATAGGTAAAGAAACTTTCAAAATATCCCTATTTGCAGACAACATGATCCTATACCTTAAAGACCCAAAAAACTCTACTCAGAAGCTTCTAGACATCATCAATAGCTATAGCAAGGTAGCAGGATATAAAATCAACATAGAAAAATCATTAGCATTTCTATACACTAACAATGAGCAAACTGAAAAAGAATGTATGAAAACAATTCCATTTACAATAGTCTCAAAAAAATCAAATACCTAGGTGTAAACCTAACAAAAGATGTGAATGACCTCTACAAGGAAAACTATACACTTCTGAAGAAAGAGATTGAGGAAGACTACAGAAAGTGGAGAGATCTCCCATGCTCATGGATTGGTAGAATCAACATAGTAAAAATGTCGATACTCCCCAAAGTAATCTACATGTTTAATGCAATTCCCATCAAAATTCCAATGACATTCATTAAAGAGATTGAAAAATCTACTGTTAAATATATATGGAAACACAAGAGGCCACGAATAGCCAAGGCAATACTCAGTCAAAAGAACAATGCAGGAGGTATCACAATACCTGACTTCAAACTGTATTACAAAGCAATAACAATAAAAACAGCATGGTACTGGCACAAAAACAGACATGAAGACCAGTGGAACAGAATAGAGGATCCAGATATGAAGCCACACAACTATAAGCAACTTATCTTTGACAAAGGAGCTAAAAATATACGATGGAGAAATAGAAGCCTCTTCAACAAAAACTGCTGGGAAAACTGGTTAGCAGTCTGCAAAAAACTGAAACTAGATCCATGTATATCACCCTATACCAAGATTAACTCAAAATGGATCAAGGATCTTAATATCAGACCCCAAACTCTTAAGTTGATACAAGAAAGAGTAGGAAATACTCTGGAGTTAGTAGGTACAGGTAAGAACTTTCTCAATGAAACCCCAGCAGCACAGCAACTAAGAGATAGCATAGATAAATGGGACCTCATAAAACTAAAAAGCTTCTGTTCATCAAAAGAAATGGTCTCTAAACTGAAGAGAACACCCATAGAGTGGGAGAAAATATTTGCCAACTATACATCAGACAAAGGACTGATAACCAGAATATACAGGGAACTTAAAAAACTAAATTCTCCCAAAACTAATGAACCAATAAAGAAATGGGCAAGTGAACTAAACAGAACTTTCTCAAAAGAAGAAATTCAAATGGCCAGAAAACACATGAAAAAATGCTCACCATCTCTAGCAATAAAGGAAATGCAAATTAAAACCACGCTAAGATTCCACCTCACCCCTGTTAGAATAGCCATCATCAGCAACACCACCAACAACAGGTGTTGGCGAGGATGCGGGGAAAAAGGAACCCTCTTACACTGTTGGTGGGAATGTAGACTAGTACAACCACTCTGGAAAAAAATTTGGAGGCTACTTAAAAAGCTGGACATCGATCTACCATTTGATCCAGCAATACCACTCTTGGGGATATACCCAAAAGACTGTTACTCCAGAGGCACCTGCACATCCATGTTTATTGCGGCACTATTCACAATAGCCAAGTTATGGAAACAGCCAAGATGCCCCAGCACTGACGAATGGATTAAGAAAATGTGGTATCTATACACAATGGAATTTTATGCAGCCATGAAGAAGAACGAAATGTTATCATTCGCTGGTAAATGGATGGAATTGGAGAACATCATTCTGAGTGAGGTTAGCCTGGCCAAAAACCAAAAATCGTATGTTCTCCCTCATATGTGGACATTAGATCAAGGGCAAACACAACAAGGGATTGGACTATGAGCACATGACAAAAGCGAGAGCACACAAGGGAGGGGTGAGGATAGGTAAGACACCTAAAAAACTAGCTAGCATTTGTTGCCCTTAATGCAGAGAAACTAAAGCAGATACCTTAAAGCAACTGAGGCCAATAGGAAAAGGGGAACAGGAACTAGAGAAAAGGTTAGATCAAAAAGAATTAACCTAGAAGGTAACACACATGCACAGGAAATCAATGTGAGTCAATGCCCTGTATAGCTATCCTTATCTCAACCAGCAAAAACCCTTGTTCCTTCCTATTATTGCTTATACTCTCTCTACAACAAAATTAGAGATAAGGGCAAAATAGTTTCTGCTGGGTATTGAGGGGGTGGGGGGGAGAGGGAGAGGGCGGAGTGGGTGGTAAGGGAGGGGGTGGGGGCAGGGGGGAGAAATGAACCAAGCCTTGTATGCACATATGAATAATAAAAGAAAAATGAAAAAAAAAGCTCCTGTCTATAAAACGGGGACTCATAGAAGTACCCACTTCACTGTGCTGTTGTGGGAATTAAATCAACCTAAATGAGATGGAAGTGTACCAGGCATTTGCTTTGCTCTCGTGGCCCCCAGAGAGCCTTCCATAAACATTCATGTTTAGAATAATTGGCTCTTTCTAAACTTTGACTACCTAATCATTTAGAACTTGTTGGCTGTCCTTGCTCTAATCTACGCTTAGATTTGAGAAATTTCTGTTTTCTTGCAGTTTCTTTCTAACTGTATAGTTGGGGCTTCCCTTGAAGAAATTACAGAAGAAGAAGAAGAGGAAGATGAAACAAAGTCAGCTGGCCGAGAAGCCTCATCTCCTAAACCCAAGGAGGGCACCTTCCAGATTGTGGGCACCCTGTCCCAGCCCGAGAGCCCCCGGCCTGACTTCGCTGTGGAGACCTACTCAGTAAGGCTACATGGCTTTTCCTAGTAGACAAAGGGAAGCCTGACTTCCTTTCCGGTGCCTTTCTGATGTGTTGCTACTCTTGCTTCTCGTTCCCTGTCTTCTGCAGGCAGGGGCAGGCAGGGCTGGGGGTGCAGCTTTCTCCTATAAGAGACATTAACCATGTTTTCTCCACTTTAAATTCTGGGCCAAAGCAAATCATTTAAATTAGACATTCTTGGAAGGGATGAATCAAATTCAGATGTTCAGACTCCTAAAATTCTCCTCTATTCTATGCTTGAAGTGTATTCTGCCTGATGTTACCTAGGAAGACTCTGAGCCAAGGCAGGCACCATCCATGAAAGAGGAATGCCCTTGGTAATGAACCGCTCATGTGTGCCTTATTGACAGTGCTGCCTCCACATGACAAATTCTACACAGCCCTCACCCTAAGGCACTTAAACACCCCTAGAAGGGGTGGCCATCTTCTCCTCCCAGGCTATCCCCTCTCTCCACCTGTCTGTGACTCTTGGAACCCTACCACGCAGCTCCGCACATGCTGTCTCTGGACAGCCTTCCTCCTCCCTCACCCAACCAGCCTTGCTCATCCTTCAAGATGTAACTCAGTACCTCACAAATGTGCCCAATTACTGTGTATCGATTAAAAAGTAATACGTTAAAAACTATTACTGTGACTTTCATCATGAACTCACTCTCCACCAAAGCTGAAAACTAAAGGCCACTGTGGGCTCCTTTCCTCGCCTTCCAGACCCCAATGGTCATGGGATCTTCAGCCTATTTCTGAGGGTTCTAGAACCATGTTTCCTTTCCAGTCTCACTGCCACTTTGCACTGGTTCAGGTTGCCATCATTTGTCACTATTCACTGGAACTTGAACTTGACTCAGTGAATGCCCGTTGAGCACCCCAAGGATCCACAGATGAACACAAAGCTCACTGCCCATTAGGGACTCCACAGCAGAACTGTGAACACAAGGACAGAGGGGCGCACATGGCAGCACCCTGAGTACTCTGGAGGGACAAGTAACATTTCTAAGTCTTATCTACGGAGCCAGGCAAATGAAGCAGCAAAACCCTCCCTGCCAAACAGGCCAAGGCCCTTAAGCCCCTCTGATCTGTAAGCCTGGAGCCTCCCTCTGCACTCAGTCCTGCAGACAGCCCTCCTCAGGGAACTGTGGTCCAGTGGTGGAGCTGAGGCTTGTAACCAAAGTTACTTTTGTCGAATGCGAGATCTGTACATTCTGCACATCAAATGTTTCTGTATTTTTAAAAAGATTCCCAACTGTCAAGCAAAATAGGTTACCTTGCATCCTCTGAGAGAACAGACTCATTCCATCATCAGGATTCTGAAATAATCCGGATTAATGGCTTATCAGAATTCTAAGTGATTCATGATACATATTGCTCAATTGTCTTGTCTGGAGTTGAAGCTCATTTGTTTTAAATGTCTCACTCATTTTCCCCCAGTGCATTCTAATTCTTTCCCCTGAGCTGCAGTTTGAACAGCAGGCAGATATAGTACCTAAAATCATTTTGCAATTTTTGATCATCTGTTCCAGGCTATTTTCACAAACTTCTTTTTTGCATGAAAACTACACACAGAAGAGAGTCAAAATTTCATTTTAAAGAGAAGTCCTCTGCACACATTTCCTATGGGACTCGTCTCATCTGGAAGACGCCATTCTGTGTAAATATTAAGGTTACCTTGCTTGCCTATTGTTGCAAATGGCTGTCACTCTTCCTTTCAGAACATCTCTCGAGAAGACCTTCTCTCACATCTGCTGGAGTGTGATGTCACCATTTACAACATCACAGAGAGCCCACAGCAAGTGGAGGAAGCCGTATGGGCAGTCTCCGGTCAGTGAGGAGCACTTTCTTATCTCCAGAAGCGATGTTTTTTTTAACTGACGTGTGTGTGTGTGTGTGTGTGTGTGTGTGTGTGTGTGTGTGTGTTTGATTCTGAGGTTCCAATCTAAGGCCTCCAGCATGCTAGGCAATCACAGTTCCACTGAGCTATACCTCCAGCCCCTAATTGACAGTTCATAATTTTTGTTCAGCTATTTCATCTAAAAGCCATAGAAAAACTGGTCTGAAACTTACCTGAAGTATAAAATCCATGCTAAGGAATAAGCCTGGGGCTACTCTTCTGGGTGTTTTGCTGTGCCTTGTTGGTTGGTTGTTTGGAAATTAGGTCTCAGCATATAGCCCAGGGTGGCCTCAAACTCACGAACTTCCTACCTTAGCCTCCTGAATGCTGCGATTCCAAGTGTGCACCACCACACCTGGCTAGATACTTCTAAAGAATGGATTTTTTTTTTTTTTGGCAGTACTGGGGTTTGGACTCAGAGCCTCACACTTCCTAAGCAAGTGCTCTACCACTTGAGCCACACCGCCAGCCTAGAATGGAATATCTTTAATTGCCAAAAGAAATGAAACAATAAATTTCAGAAGTCCACCTTGGCTCATTCAACAGACACTGCTTTCAGCAATGGGGTTGAGTGGATTGGGGTGATACAAGGTACAATTTGGAGAGCTTTACACCCTCACAGGTTACAGCCTCACAGATTAAGATCACCCAGGAACCTTAGCAGAAGACAGAGGGCAACAGCAGCTACCAAGAAAGGAACCCATGAGAGCCATGTGACACCAAGAGGACTTGATTCAATTCAGCAAATGCTCCCTGGTGGCAAAGGACAGGGGGTGGGGGGGAGGGAGAAGGCTTGGATTTTGCAAAAGCTTTGAAAAGCATGATGGACTTCAGAGAACAAGGTGGAGTGTTGCAATTTGCTCCTTTTTGCTTCATCCTCATTAAGTCTGAAGCAAAGGTGAAAGCAACTCATTTGAATAGTTATTCTAGACCAGGACAGCCCCCAAAGACAAACAGCACCTTACAAGTCAAAGCCTTCGAACTTTTTGTTTTAGGAAGATTAGATGGGGTCCAAAACTTTTTTCTGTGAAGAGCTACATAATACATTTGATTCTGAGAGTCAAGTACTCTGCTATGATAGGAGAAAAGCAGCATAAACAATGTGTAAACAAATGGACTGAGTATCAATAAAACTTTATTTATAAAACCAGCAGTATTTTGCTAGTCCTTGGATTAGATCAACAGCAAAGTTACGTTTTGGCTTAAATTCAGAGAAGTGGAGTGGAGCCTCAGGACTGACTATGCCATATCAAGAGATGACAGGACAATACTGCCTGTGGGTATGGGGATTCCTCAGGGGTCGCTTGACTTCTCTGTGCCTAAATTTCATCCAGTCAGACACAAGTCAAAAACATGAACAAAGATTAAAGACAAAAAAAAATGAACCCTTTGGAGGCAGAACTTGTTTAAAGTCAACTTTCTGCATTTCATCCCTTTGTACTACCTAAAGCAATCATCTGAGCAAATGTTTCCTGAGCACTTATTTTGTGCCAGGTTTTGAAAATTGAGTTTTCTTCTAACATATACTCATACTTTAAAATTTTAAACATTTTTTCCATAGTAAAACCCAGACATGTTTTGAAGATTAAAAAGCAGAGTAGGGCTTAGAATACCGAGAAGTAATTCCCTCCATTTCTTTTGTACTCCATCCTCATTTCCCAAAAGTGACCTCCTTTAACCCAGTCTTAATTTAATACACAAAACTGCCTATCTGAGGCTGAGGGTGTAGCTCAGTGATAGAGGCTTCCCTAGCCTGCTATGGCCTTGGGTTTCCCACCCAGCCTACAACCCCCCAAAAAAGCCTAAATAGATGGACATTGAGTGTGAATTTGAGACCCAACCATTCACTTCCTGCAGTGACAGGTGAGTGTCAGTTCTTTTGCAGGCCTGCCCAAGGCCACTCCAGGAACACTAATCAGTTCTTACAACTTGATATTCTATTTCCTTTCATGAGCCTTAAATTCAGAATTGTCTTACCACTTTCTCTATTCTAATAAAGAGCTTTACACAATTAAGAAAATTTCTCTTCTCTATTTGGAGAAAAGGTTTTGAGACATAGGGTGTTTGTGTGTGAGCAAGTATAGCCAGAGACCCTTTGGTTGGTCAGTGGAGTCACCTGGGGGCCACAGAGTGGGTGGGACCAGGGAGAACAGGGTAGAGACTTTGTCAGTCCTAATATACATTCTTAGATTTTGTTTTGTATTACTTTTTAATAGGGCTTTATTAAGTCATTTTTAAATGTTTTAGAATTCTTCTACTTTGCCTTTCTTGGGCACTATAAAAGGAAGGCAAGATGGCACAGGAAAAAGGAATAAATTACTAGAGCTGAGGAGAAAGCTTTCATATATATGAATAAAGGGTGTGTTCAGAAGGGGAGCACACAGATCATTTTAGACCCATTATAAATATCACAGATAAAAAAGGATGACCCAGTTAGAGGTCCTCGAAGTGTGCCATGTACTCAAAATAGGCCAGTGCAAAGCACAGCAGGTCAGAAAGGTTATCAGAGCACAATTAATTGAAGAGGCACTTTTTGTTATTGGTATAAATAAAGAAACCAAAATTAACAAAGAAACTAAAATTAACATATGAAGTTGGGATGAACACAGGAACATCATGTTCTTGGGCTTAATTCAATAGTGCTTTTTCATTTTAGGTAGAAATGAAATGAAATTAGGTAGAAATGTTGTTATTGTTGTTTTGGCAGGACTGGGGTTTGAACTCAGGGCTCCCTACTTACAAAGCAGGCACTCTACTGCTTGGGCCACAGCACCAGTCCATTTTGCTCTGGTTATCTTAGAAATGGGGGTCTCTTGAACTATTTGCCTGGGCTGGCCTCAAACCTCGATCCTCTCCATCTCAGCCTCCCAAGTAGCTAGGATGGCAGGGATGAGCCACCAGTGCCCAGCAGAATCCATGGATTTTTAGAGTTAGGATGTCAGCATTTCGTTGTTGTGTTGTCATTTAGAGAATCACCTCTTGAGATTAACAATGTACCATGAACCTCTGACAACTTAATTAGACTTTATTTTGTAGCTTAGGCCCTTGTCTAGAAAATCATACGACATGAAGAAGATATTAGTGGAGTCACTTTTCGGATGCATTCAAGGAGACTGAGTGCGTAAATGGGTGACAAACCCTTTGGAAGTCAAATCAGCCCTGCTTTCTGTGCATGGCTGTCCCAATCGGTAGGGAAATACCAAATCATACAGATTGTTCGTAACTGGGCATTCCTGCCAATCTATGCTGACCACCACAGCCCTCAGCCCCCAAGGCACAGACTGTGCTCCCCACAAGGAGGTGGAGTGGGAGGGGTGGGCATATTCCAGATTACTTCCTTTCCCGGAGGCCCAAGCTAGGCAGGGCTGCAGCCCCAGTACCCAAATAGTTCCATTTTCCCTACAGCTAGCGAGATGCAGTGGGGAGAGCAAGCCCATCTGCCCCATCCCTTCCCTCTGTGATTCTGAGAAAATGGTATCTCAGTTTCCCCATCTGTAAACAATATATTAGTACCTGACTCATCATGGTGGCAAATTCAATAAGCCCCATGAATTGTTCCTTTGCTTGTCAACCAAGGTTATTCCTATCACCAGCCAAGCAAAGAACAATTCTGGGAAAAAAAAAAAAAGTTCTGACTTGTCCTAAATTTAATTACAAAGGCAGGAGAGCAGAGGGGGAAAGAGATTAAGGGAAAGCAATCAGTTAGAGCTACTGGCTAAACCCAAGAAAAGACTGTTCAGTGTTCCTGAATAAATGTTACAACCTTGACTTACAACCCGTGGGAGCAGACCCTAATGTGCACTGCCTCCTGTTTATACATCAGCTTTAAACTGCTAGCCCCAGCTAGTCCAGAGCAACGAGGACTCCTAATGAACTCTGTCCTTGACCCCAAGTTTTCCCTGCTTAGCACTATTCTGACCATCTTTATTCATAACCAATGTAACAATCCATGTTGTCTTTCCCCAAATTGTCATACACAAATGCTCTTAGCGCTTAGGTTCAGTGGACATGGTTCCAACTACTCTGTAGCCTTGTGGCTGGTAGTCATGGAACTTCTCCAAGGACCTGGTCCTTTTCTGGCTGGCATTTGCAATGGCTTGATAAACGCTTGTATTTCAGAGTTGGTCTCAAAGCTTTGGTTTAACTGCACACAGCTACAGGGCACGGAATACGAAGGACTGAATTTCTGACCTGAGCCCAGAAGTGGTCAGGTGATCGCAGGGTCAGGTGAACACTGGTGGGAAGGGGACATGGAGGCCTCAGAGGTGAGGCCACCCTGGTGTTGAACCGTAAGCCCCACTGGTAACTAACAGCCCACATGATTTCAAAACCAAGTTCTGAGTGGATCCAAATAACTGCTCTGCTTTTTGGCCCAACAGCACTGAATGAAGAAGTCAGCCATTTTGAAAAGCGAAAGATATTTATTTTATTATCGACCATGATGACTTGGGCTCGATCCAAACCTCTGGACCCTGTAAGTAGAACATGAGTTTTCCTTTATAGAAAATGATACATTCTTACACTCCCAAGCCCCATCTATAGGCACTCACCAGCGCTCCTTGCCTCTTAAGCCCATCCAACTTCTAAGAGATTTCATTGTTTCATGGAACAACAAGGATTTTAAAATGATACCTATTAAACTACAGTCATGTGCCACAGAACAAGGTTTTGGTCAATATGATAGTTGGTCCCAGCAGTTATAATGGAGCTGAAAAATTTGTGTCAGCGAGTGTCATTGAAGCCCTCGAAAGATCAAAGCCGATGTATTATATATGTGCTTGTTGTGAGCTGGTATAACAAAATTCATGTTTGCCTAAGGAACGAAAGTGTGGCACATACATCAGGTGCAGTGCATAGCACTTGGTAATGAAGATGAATAGCTATGTTGCTGGTTTGTGCATTTATTGTACTGTACTTTCTATCATGTGCACTTCAACTTTTTTTTGTGGTATCAGGGTTTGAACTCAGGGCTTTGTGCTTGGATGGTCTACCACTTGAGCTACACCTCCAGTCCTTTTTGCTTCAGTGCTATCGGGTTTCAGTTTTTGCCTGGGATAGCCTGGATCTCAATCCTTCTATTTATGACAGGTGTGCCCCACCCTTCCTGCCCCCAGCTTTTGGTTGAGATAGGGGTCTCAGTAACTTTTTGCCTGCACTGGACTTAAACTGAGATCCTCCCGATCTTTACCTCTTGAAGAGCTAGGATTACAGGCATGAGCCACTGTGCCAAGCTCCAACTCTTTTTTTTTACGCTCACTGTAAAGCAGTGTGCCATGTTACAGAGGCAGCAGCCTCACACATCTTGTGTTTACCACACCTCTTAATCACATCACTCTCTCTTGTGCTCAATTTGATCTCGTGTTGTGTAGCTCACATGACCCTACCTGTAGAAAACCCACTGCTAAAGGGGGTGAAATGATCGACATGGAAAGAAAACTGAGAGTGACAAAGGACTATGAAAAGGGAATCAGAGGCTCCTGCTTGACAGTCAGGCATGCCCCTTCCACCACAGCCATGATCTTGAACAAGAACAAGGTGAAAGAAGCTGTTAAAGGAGCTGAAATTCTGGAAGAGCCCATCTCTGATATGGAGGAACTTCTTACAACCTGGAGGAAGACCAGCCCAGAAGTGTCTGCCTCTCAGCACCACGGCCACCCCAGCCAAAGCAAAGTTTATGTGTGACATTGGAAACAAGGCTACAATGCTGAATTTTCTGCTAGCTATAGGTGGGTAAATGAGTGAAGAATTGTTATTTGGTATGTAATGTGACAGTGAGTGGTGAATCTACAAATGCTGATGTGAAGGCAGCTGAAGAACTTTTGAAAAAAACTGCATAACCTGACTGTGGGAGACTGCCATTTGCCAAAGCAAATCTGGCAAAGCCATCCAGCAGAGCAGCAGCCATCCAGGCATGTGTAAGTTCACTATGGTGCTCGTGCAACAATGAAATCAAGTATGCGTGCATTTCTCAGACCGATTCTCTGTCCTTAAATAACAATGACTGTAAGCAGAATGGCTCAAGTGGTAGAGTGCCTGCCTAGCAAATGTGAGGCCCTGAGTTCAAACCCCAGTACTGCCTATATATATATATATATATATATATATATATATAGAGAGAGAGAGAGAGAGAGAGAGAGAGAGAGAGAGAGAGAGAAACAATGACTATATAACAATATTTGGTTATCACTTATGCTTTTTATTTTAAAACTATTGAAAGAGGGCCAGTGCCAGCAACTCACTCCTGAAATCCTAGCTACTTAAGAAGTGGCTATCAGGAGGATTGTGGTTCAAGCCCAGAATAGGCAAAAAGTCTGTGAAATCCCACCTCAACAGAAAAACCTGGGCCTCTGTATTCATGCCTGTCATCCCAGCTACTGTGAGAAGGGTGATGGTCCAGGTCAGCCCAGGCAAAAAGCAAGACCCTACCTCAAAAATAACCAAAGCAGCCAGGCACCAGTGGCTTATACCTGTAATTCTAGCTACTCAGGAGGCGGAGATCAGGAGGATCAAGGTTGGAGGACAGCCCAGACAAATAGTTTGCAAGACCCTATCTTAAAAATATCCAACACAATTAAATGGCTAGTGGAGTGGCTCAAGTGGTAAAGTGCCTGCCTAGCAAGCTTGAGGCCCTAGTGCTGACAAAAATCAGAGCAAAATAGAAGGACTGGAGGCATGGCTCCAGCAGTAGCGCACCTGCCTAGCAAGTGTGAAGCCCTGAGTTCAAACCCCAGTACTACCAAAAAAAAAAAAAAGAAAGAGTATTATTTTATCTTATTTTTGGTTTTGTTTCAGGGAGCCATGCCTCCTGCCTCTGTGCTTGGTTTCTTTTAAAAATGGAGTCTCACTTGTTGTGCATGTTGATCTTGGAACTCCTGGGCTCATGTGATTCTCCTGCCTCAGCCTCCCCAATAGCAGAGACTACATAGGTGGATGCACTGCACCAAGCATTAAGAGTTCTTTTAGATTTATTTACAACTATGATTTTGTGACATACTTCTTGTGCATACATTAAAAGGAAATGTAAGCAAAGTACACTGGTTATAATATTCTTAAAACTTCTTCACAGCCAGAGCTCTTCTCTGAATCACACCTATTCTGTCCTTTTTCCACACAAGAGCACAGTGTAAGATCTGCTATACCACTTAGTTTAGATACTTTCCTATAAAGTGCGTGGGCATTACAGCCCAAAAATTTTGGACAATGCTTCACACACATGCTTCCAACATTGTTCTCTCTCTCTCTCTCTTGGTTTGAGATAGGGTCTTGCCATGTAACCCAGGCTGGCCTTGAACTCATATTCCTTCTGCCTCAGCCTCCTACTGCTGGGATTGCAGACCCAGCTTCAAGTCCTTGTAAAGTTTAGCACTATTCTATTTGGTTGCCACCACCTCAAGATAGAAGCAAAGTCATTTTATTCCTGTTATCGTTCCTTCCCTCAGAGTGTCTAGTTAAATGTCCCTACAGAATAACATCGGCCCACTGGCCTGCTGACCACGGTGGTGGCATTCTGACTAATGGTGCTCGATGACTGAACCAAAACGGACATTTTTTGCATCATGTAATTGGTAAGTCCCAAAGTGGCAACTCAGGCACAGCTGGCTCTAGAGGCGTAAACAATGCACTCAGAGTTCACGAACTCTCCTTCTCTCACCTTTTGCTCCTTTCCCTCGCTGAATGAATCCCTCCTCTAATAAGCTGTCTGTTCCCCTGACTCCCAGCAGCTGTCATCCTGGGTCCCACTTTGATGGATCTTAGGTTAAGGGTCTAACCTTGAACCATTCATTGTGGTCAGGGGAATGTCATGCTCTTTGCCAGACCTGGGATCGTATAACCCACTCCAGGCCAGGGATGGTCAGCTCCCTGAACCACAAAGACTGAGAATGGAGAAGAGCTGGTCCCTAGAGACTAGAGGGAAATGGCCCCTGTGTTGGCTCTTAGGTCGTTTGGCACACCCCACCCTCACAACAGTTTTAATTGGATTTCCCTAGTGGCTAATGATGACTTTAAAAGTCATGTTTATTACGGTATAATCTGCACATAGTAAAATTAACCATTTTTACCATATAGCTCTATGGGTTTTGACAAATGCATAATTATGCAACCACCACAATAATCAAAATATAGAAAATTTTGCCTGATGTGGTGGTACACATCTGTAATCCCAACAATCAAGAGACTGAGGTAGGACGATCTTGAGTTTGAGGCCAGCTTGGCCTATATATCAAGATCCTGTCTAAATAAATAAATAAATAGAACATTTCCATCACACCTTCTCCCAAATTCTCTTTCTCACCACACAAAAAGCCAATTTCAATTAGGTTACATAATTAAAAGAAAAAAGTAAAACTTTAACTGTTAAAGTTACAGAATTTGTAGGGAATGATTTCACAAACAAGACTAATAATTATAAATATTTGAAGAATTGAAAAATTCGGCTATAATAAGATTAATGAAGTATTTGTGAATAAAGTGATAGTGTCTGAAACTTGTTTTAAAAGAATCCAAGGAGGGCTGGGGGCATGGCTGCAGTGGTAGACTGCCTGCCTAGCAAGCATGAAACAATCTAATGAGATGAGGGCATAGGTGGGGGTATAGATGCAAAGAATGGCTATAAGAAACAAACACGCTTGTCCCCAACAAGTCTAATTGAAGGGGATGTGGCAGAAGAAGATCGTGATGTCCATTTGAGCTGGATTTGGTTTTGGCGGGACTGGGGTTCGAACTCAGGACTTCACACTTGCAAAGCAGACACTGTACCACTTGAGCCACACCTCCAGTCCCTGGCATCTGTTTGAAAGCAGGGTGAGCTGAGCAGAAGTCTTGGGTGCAAGTAGAAGAATCCAGTTGGAGATAGCTTAACCAGAAAGAGGAAGTTTTATAAAGAGAACTGATTTACGTAATCCATGGACAGCGCTGCCACTGGGCTCAGGGATTGGTAAATCCTCTCCACCTTCTTTGCTCTTCTCTGCTCCCATCTTCTTGTCACTGTCCCAGGACATGGTAACAGTTGAGGAAACGAGTTCTAAGTAAAGCAGAAGTGACCTAAGTTAGAAAAAAATCACTGTAAACTTATGACTTCAGAAAGCTGTGTCTTCTACTGTCATACAAAGTGACCCCACAGCAGCCTGACTGACATCCAGAGTAACTCCAGAACGCTGAAAGTTACATTCCATCCCTTGAGTCAGCAAAAGTCTGGAAAAGCCTGCAACATACTGTTGATGCTACAGAGCCAAGGTATTTTCAGAGCTGTCCTGGGCAGTGCCCAGAAGACAAAGACAGCTCCCCACTAGCAGCTGTGAGAAGCTGAGCGTCACACGAACAGCCATGTGCTGAATGTTTTCCGTCTGCCACTCCAGATCCACCCTATCTCCTCTTCACCTGCTCTGACCCTGTAGCCTAGATCAGCAAGCTTCCTGGTCCTCTGCTCCCAACGTGGTCTGGCCAATGCGGGGGAAGGGTACAAGAACCAAAAAGAATGAGGTCAGAGTGTCTATACCCAGTTTTGTTCTGTTGCTGGTGGTGGGCTGTTGCTGGCGGTCAGGCCCCCAGCTTTGTCTCTCGCTCTAATTATCATTTGCTCTCTTGATACTTTTGGACCTAGGAGTGATCCAGAGCATCTTGCTCCTGGCTCTGGTTATGTGGTTTCCCTACATCCCAAATTACCCACTTGGAGTAAGCTATTTCTTTCCTGCTAGGCCCTTGCTGATAAGCTGTGGTTCATCAGAATCAGAGGTTGTGGAAAGTCTCGCCGCCACCTTGCCATTCAGGAAAGTGAGTGCTAGGTGAATGTAGACACTGCTGGCCTCCTGCCTGGCAGCCCCATGCTGGCCTCCAAGCCAGCAGAGCTTTGATTTGCCCAGATGTCCACACTGCCCACACACCCAGGGAAGGGAGACTGTCCCTGGCACCAGGGGAACATCCTGATTGATTCACACCAGCCATCATGGTCCCTCTCTTGTCAACCATTGGCTGAGGGGTAGGCACATAATCCAATTCTGGGGGTTGAGGATGTGAAACCCACCCTTCCCCTCAAAAATATAGAATGTCTTGAACATAGTGGAAATGTATTTCTTGCTCAATGTGAAATGAGCAGTTGATGACTGAGTAAGCCTCTCAAATCTGACTTGAGATCCGAGCTCCTGCTGGATGTCCCGACTACTTCCAGAGCACACTGCCTTAAGCCATGGAGGGGTCGTGGGAAGCTTTACAGACCAGAACTGGAGGTGGTGCTCATCCCTTCTACAAATGCCTGCATAATCCCCAATCACATGACCACAGCTGCTGCAAGGGTCCTGGATGTGTAGTCCAGCTATGTGCCAGGAAACCAGCACAGTCCAGTCTACACAGAGGAAAGCTGGATAGGGGCTCTGGGATTGGCTCATCCTGACAGAGACTTCGGGAAGACGCTGTCAGGGCTGGATGTGAAGCTTGGAGCTCCTGCCACCAGTCTTACCCTGAGCCTGCAGAGGAGGGGACAGTCATGCACAGGGAGAGGTGGAGCTAAGAGGGCATCAGAAAAGCAGAGCTGCCAGCCCATGGTGCCAAAGCCACCCTATGGAAGTGAGCTAATGAATTCCCCTGGGGTTTCTGCCATTGACGTTAGCTTTTATGTTACTTGTAGCCAAAAATACTGAAATGCTACAATGAGTTTTGATACAGAAGAAGGGTAAATGTAATCAAATATTTTCATTTTTACTAATTTTAATAAATAACAAAAAATATGTTTTTTCCTGTAGTATTATCTGTTTTGTTTGAGACAGGGTCTCCCTATGTAGTCCAGGCTGGCCTCAAACTCAAGATCCTCCTTTTCTGCTTGTCAACTGCTACGTCCACAGGTGTGGGCCACCATACCTGGCCCCCTACCTGTTTTAAAAGTCTAGCCAGCTCCAGTGGCTCACACTTGTAATCCTAGCTACTGTGGAGACAGACATCAGGAGAAATGAGGTTTGAAGTCATCCTGCTTAGCAAACATGAGGCCCTGAGTTCAAACCCCAATAACACCAAAAAAAAAAATGGAGTCCTATTTTGGTCTGGAAATGGTGGTTCATAACTCTAATGGCAGCTACTTGAGAGCCGTGGCCTTTTCCAGTAAGTCTTGGCTGCTGCAAGGTCCCACTAGAAGGGAACTTTATCTCTCTCAAGGAGATTTCCCTGGGACAGAAAAAATCCCATAGGAAACCATAGATGAGGCATTAATTCAGACTCTTGCCCACCCAGTTTGCATTTATGATGCTGATAAAAACGAGCTACTGAAGAAGGAGAACGTGACTCAAAGAAATCTAGACAATTTTTTTTTTTATATTACTGGGGTAGGATTATAGGTGTGAGTCACTGGTGCCTGGTTAGACGTTTAAAACAGATAGGGGGCCGGGTGTGGTGGCCTATGCCTGTAAACTCAGCACTTGGCAAGCAGAAGCAGGAGATCTTGAATTTGAGGCCAGCCTGAACTACATAGGAAGACCCTGTCTCAAAGAAAACAGATAAATATTGCAGAAGAAAACATGTTTACTCACACACACAGAGCAAGAACATAGCTAGGAAACCAGAGGTTACCTTGACTCAACCAAAATAATCCAGACTGACAGGCTTTGGTTGTCAGCTCAGAAAGACAAGAAAGATACACTTGAGCTGAGTACAGTGGTGCTCTTCTGTAGCCCCTACTCAGGAGGCTGAGGCAGGAGGATCACTTGAGCCCTAAACAAATTAAAAATATACTGTATTTATTGTTGTTGTGATGAATGAAATTTGAGGACTATAGATATGCAGCCCAAGCACCAGTAGCAAAGGATCCTAACACACAACCAAGTCTCTGTTCCAAGAAGGAATTAAGGAACGACAGCTCTGAACCTAGGACCCTGGGTGGTTGGAGTTTCTAGGCTTCAATGCAGCTGGCCAAAGAGCTTGATTTCCCTTTTCTTTAGGGAAAACCTCTGGTCAGGGCTCCTTGCAGTCCATCTTATAAAATGTGACCATTTAGATTGAGGTCACGGAGACTAAAAGTGGGGCAAATCCTGGAGGAGCAAGCTGGCCACCATGTCCGTGTAGCCAGGGCTATGAAGCTGCCAACCTCAGTTCATCAAAAGGCAAAGCTTATCCCGCTGTTTCTAGAAGCCAAGTTAACAGCTAAAAAACGCACATAACACGGGATGTGGCTCAAGTAGCAGAGCACATACCTGGCAAATGTGAGGCCCTAAATTCAAACCCCAGTCCTGCAAAAACAAAACAAAAGCAAAAATGAAAAATATATATTACATACAAGGACACCCAGTTAAATGAGAATTTCAGAAGTGAATAATGTTTAGCATAAATATTCTTTTAGTTTAAGTATTGAAGGATACCTACACTAAAAACTCATTTACTGCCAGGCACCCGTGGCTACACCTGTAATCCTAGCTACTCAGGAGGCAAAGATCAGGAGGATCACAGTTCAAAGCCAGCCCAGGCAAGTAACTCCTGAGACCCTATCTCAAAAATACCCAACACATAAAAGGGCTGGTGGAGTGGCTCAAAGAGTAGGCCCTGAATTCAAACCCCAGTACAGCAAAACAAAACTCATTTACTTGTTTATCTGAAATTCAAATTTAACAGGATGTTTTGTATTTTATCTGCCAATCGTCTCGTGAGCCACTGGACAGACATGTTTAAAAGAACAGCTAACCATACCATGTGTATTCACAAGTATCTACTATGTCCACAGAATTGAGGTGGGCAAACCTGAACTTCCCCTCAAAAATTCATCCTCTCTCTTTTCCCAAGGGCATCCACATCACTGCAGTTGCTCTCACCTCACTCCTTTCCATCCTTCATAAATGTATCAGATACAAAAATGTATCAGACGCCCATCTAGTTCCCTTTGTATCCATGGCAACTTTCTAACCCGAGCTTTAGCCATCAGCTCCCTGGACTGCTAAAATAGCTCTCATCGTCCTTCCAATCCATTCTCCACAACACAGCCCAAGAGCCTACGAAACTGTAATTCAGAGCCTGGCACCGGTGGCTCACGCCTGTAATCCTAGCTACTCAGGAGGCAGTTCGAAGGATCTGCCAGGCAAATAGTTTGTGAGACCCTATCTCAAAAAAAAAAAAATCCATCACAAAAAAGTGTTGGTGGAGTGGCTCAAGGTGTAGGTCCTGAGTTCAAACCCCAATATTGCAAAAAAAAAAAAAAAGATTGAAGTTGGTTGTGGTGGGATGCAGAGGCAGGAGGATCATGAGTTCAAGTCCAGCCTGGACTAGAATTCACAGTTGGAGAAATGCATGCAGACAATCATCATCCTGAAAACTGCGAAAGCTTGTGTGGCAGCAGCCAGCATGAGGTTCACCCTGTGAAAGGCAGCTAGATAGATACTGTGGGACGGATGACACCACAAATTGCAATAAATTTCTGTGAACCATCAGAAAACCAGAAAGACCAGGGTAGCTTTAAAGCCCCGTTCCCACAAGGACCTCTTCACGTGGATGGGGGCGGGAAGCGCGCTCTGTCATGGCTCTCAGTTTTCATCATTCTCCAGGAAGTTCTCAGCCACATTCCTCTGCAGGTGAAAGAGTTGTGGAGCCTGAATGTGATGCACAGCTCAGTGGACTGTCAGAAATATTTTCCAGAGGTTAGGGCTGAGTGGCTCGGTGATAGGACACTTGTCTGGCACATCTGAGGCCCTGGGTTCCATTCCCAGCACCACAAAGAAAACAAACAACAAATTTAAGGAAAGAAATGGCTTATTGAACACCTTTATGGAATCACAGTGACAACTTGCCACTTTTAGAAAATAAGATATTTAAATTTTAATTTTGTTATATTAAGTTTAAATTATAAAATTTGTTTAGCTAAAAGCATTTTCAAGAAAATTAAATCACTATTAAACAGCAGTGTTTTTTTTAAATGATATTTTCATTTTAACTGTCACATAATAATTGCATCTACTAATGAGTATATTTTCTTTTTTTTTAAACTTTTTTTTTTGGTGATTCTAGGATTTGAACTCAGGGCTTCACAGGTGCTTTACCATTTGAGCCACTCCGCCAGCCCATACAGTATGTTCTCAATGCATGTATTCACTGTGTAATGAACAGAGCAGGGTAATTGCACATTTATCATTTCTCCGTGTTGGGAATGTTCAAAGTCCTCTCTACCAGCTATTTTGAAATATATAATTAATTGTTGCCAGTCACAGTTATCCTATAGCTGAGCAGCTGTTTTAAGCTTTACCTGAACTTACAGGAAGAAGCCTCTGCCTTAGAAGTTTTACACAGATCTAATGCATCAGGTCCACACCTTCTCTCCCTTGCAGGATGATTCCGAGGTTCCATTTACCGAAGAGGATTACCGCAGAAGAAAGAATCACCCTAATTTTCTGGACCACATCAATGCTGAAAAAATGGTTCTCAAAGTTGGAAAAAATGTAAGTCTGGGGTCTTAGAACATTTGGGGTAGTAAAAGTTCCTTCTGAGGCTCTGTATATTGGCCTCTTTCTCCTCATCTGTTCTTACTCAACCCTGGTCAAGATAATAGCTTTTACTCCTTGTTAAGGACTACTCTTAGTTTTATATACTTCACCACAACTCTTTAATCATCTCTTTGTTTTGCTTCCTCATAACTTACACCCACAGATCTCCCAGCTTTAGGTTCACCCTAAGATGCACTGTTTAGGGGTTCTTGCCCAGATTCCGGTCCAGCCCACCGACCTGGAAGCCCTGTGTCAGATTCCCCACTGAGCTCAGGCCCTCACCCACCAGGAGGTCTGCACATCCCAGGAGTCACCTGGTTCAGAGTCAGAATGGGAACCAGTGAAGTCTTTTTTGGTTTTTGGTTTTGCAATAGTGCAGTTTGAACTCAGGACCTTATGCTTTCTAGGCAGACACTCTACCACTTGAGCTCCTCTGCCAGCTCAGAGTTGGAATGGGAAGAAGGGGAAGCACATTTTCTCTGCTCCCAGAATCCATTTCGTGTTTTTCTTAAAACAACGCCGAGAAGTGCACGGTGACCTCATCTTACAAATAAGGCGATGGAGGTAGCCAGAGGTTAATTTGCTCAGGGTCACATGACTAGGACTGACAGCAAGTCTCAACCCTGTCTGATCTGCTCCCTCCAATGATGCTCTTGTCCACATGCACCACTGTCCCCACATCCAGAGGCAGCCGCCGTGGGAAAGAGGTCAAGTGCTGGAGCATCTCTGCTCTTTTCCTGACTCCAACTTCATCATTCAACAGCGTTTACCTCGACACGTCCATAGTCACTGACACTAAATACCTAGTGCTGAGAAGTCCATGTAAACAACAGTAATAGCTTATAAGGTTTGCTACAGCAAAATTTATCATTTTGACATGTCAATTATAAGTTCTCTTCTTGGCCCTTATTGAAGTAGCTGATGTGAATGCCTTGGTAATACATAAGTAGTTACACCTGAAAAGCCCTTGCTAGGGCTTGCTTACCACCCAGCCACACGCTAACTGTTTTACTTACGGTGTCTTGTGTAGCAGGAGACACTGTAGGATCTCATGTAGAGTCGCCAAAAACATTGTGAAGTGGGCACTACTCCATCATTCCCACTCAACTTATACAGAACCCCCAATCCTCTAAAGGCTCCACGACATTTTTCCTATTAGAGGAAGACCCAACCTAAGTGACATGTAATTAATAGCTCCACACTGACACCTGGTGGTCTCAGAGGATATTACAACAGGAACTTCAAATGTCCAGTTCTGTCCCGAATATGGAAAAAGCACATTGACTTTGGCAATACAATACAAACACTGTGAGTATAAAATATTCAAAGTGAGCTGGGCAGGTGGTGTACACCTGTAATCACAGTGTTTGTGAGGTGGAGGCTGGAAAAGCACACGTTCGAGGCTGGCGTGGGCTACACAGTGACACAAAACGGACAAATAATCCTACTGGGGATGCTTGGGTGTAGCCCAGTGGTAGGACGCTTGTATAGCATACACAAGGGCCGAGAGCCTAGGTCTCACCTCCAGCACCACAAAATAAGCAAAGAATCCTACTATATAAATATATATATTGAGGAGGGTAGTACTGGGGTTTGAACTTAGGGCCTTGTTCTCACTAGGCAGGAGCTCTGCCTCTTAAGCCATTTCACCAGCCCTGTTTTTGTAGTGGGCATTTTTGAGATAGAGCTCGGGAACTGCTTCTCTGGACTGACTTCAAACCTAAATCCTTCTGAGTCAGCTAGGATTATAGGCATGACCACCGGCACCCTGCCATATTGTTTCAATTGGGTCATGGCTTACACATGGGGTCATGGTGTTACACACACACATACATTCATGAATCTTAGGTAAGATTAAACCCCCAATGTAATTAAACAAAAAATCTGACTGGAACAGGGCTGCTGTGGCATTCTGTGGAATGCTGTGGCAACCTTCAGTGGAGGGTTTGGGGAGTTTGCCTAAAACCAACCATTAACCGTTAAACAAGGCTTAGGTTTTTCTGGGTCTTGTTGCTTTTTTGTTTTTGAGACAGTGTCTCGCTCTATTACTCAGACTGGTCTCTAACTCCTGGGCTCAGGTGATTCCCACCTCAGCATCACAAACAGCTGGGACTATAGGTGTGCACCATTGTACCCAGCTTAGTTTTTAAATTAAGCATCATCATGGCCAAATGGTTACTAGACTATGGGTGTGTGTCGGGCAGTAAGGGAAGAAATGCTGGTGTCGGGGCATTCCTAAGTATTATCTGTACCCTGCGCTTTCAACATGCCAGAAGGCCCATTTTCCCCATGGTAGCTACTAGCAGTAGGACAGCTGTAAGAAATAGCTAAATATTGAAGCATAGTTTCCCAGTGCTTAAGCTGCTCCTCCTGCCTGGCAACAATCTGGGTCAGTTAAAATCCATGAACTCTGTGGCTTTATGGTGTCTACCCCCCTACTAGATAATCAGAAATCCTTCTGGAAGGTTTACTTCTATAGCTCCCTTGCCCCTCAGTGCCAGAAACTAAACTGTCACAAAGAGTAACTCTGACTTGAATTATGAGTCCCCATTAAATTGTCATAGTGGTGAGAGGCACTTCTGAGTGGTGTAGGGGGATTGTTTGCCTCTTGAAGAGGTACTATTTGTGTCCTAAACAATACCCAAGAAGCCCAAAAGAGTTGATGAAAAGTCCTACAGTGTTCATTTTACATACTAAAATAATCACATTCAATATGATTAATAATACTATTTTCAGCTTTTTTCTGTATTTTATCCAATAGGTCAAAAAGTTTGCAACCTACGTAGTTGCTTCGGGACTTCAGTATGGCGCAGAAGGAGGCACCTTACACGCATTTTTTAAGGTACGGCATTTCAGTAAGCTTACGGATTCTAGAAAAGGGTTTTAAAGCAGACACAGTGGCACACATCTGTAATCCCAGCACTCAGGAGGCTGAGGCAGGATGATGATGAGGTCAAGGCCAGCTGGGGCTGCAAAGCAAGATCCTATCTCAAGGCAAAAAAAAAAAAAAGGTGTTTTTACAGGGCTGGGGGTGTAACTCAGTGGTAGATTGCTTGCCAGAAGCTCTGGTTCCAACCACAACACCACAGATAAGTAAATAAATACATAAACACAGTTTAAAAAGTGTTTTCCAGTAAGGCTATACAACTCAAAAATGTCTTTGGTTGCTTCTAGATGTGGCTAACTCAGTATAACAGCATAAAATGTGGATGTCATCACTAGCCACCTACATCTTCCTACATCTCCTTCCCATTGTGAATAACTTGTGTCACCACTGTAAGAATAATAAAAGAAAAGATGGATCTCCCTCCTTTTATGAGACAAGTAGTGACTGAGTGCCAGAACCTGCTGTAGATGCAGGGGATACACTAAACAAACCCAGCCCTACCCTTTTGGGCTTGCATTCTAGTGGGTGGAGGAGGGAGACAGATAATGACCAAATAAGCCAGGAAATCTTGAGGACCTGATGTGGTGAAGGAAACTTGCTGTGGAAACAACAAGACAGAACAGAGAGGCTGAGTGTATGTGGTTGGTGGGGGGGCCTGTGTTTTACCTGAGGTCGGTGAGGAAGGTCGTTCTAAGGATGTGCTGTTTGAGCAGCATAGGAAAGGCAATGAGGGTCACAACTTCTTTGCTTTCTGGGAACAGAACATTCCAGGCAGCAGGAACTGTAAATTCCAAGAACCGAGGCTGAAGTGTGCTGGCTGTTTTAGGAAGAGCGAAAAGAGCCAGGTGGCTAAAGGATGGGAGAAGGATGGGCCTTGAGGTCAAGGAGGGTGGGGAGAGTCAGGAGAGCCAGCCTGACTGAGAGCTCTCTCAGACTGAGAGTCTGAGAGAGCTGAGAGGTCACTGGGCTGCTTTGATCACAGAGTGACGCAATGTGTCTGAAGTTCTAAAAGGCTACGTCTACAGTGTACGCAGACAGGCATGGCAGAAGTGAAAAGGGGCCTGGTTTTGGAGGGTGTTGCCTAAGGAAATGGTGGGAGTTCTGACAATTGTCCTGAAAATGGGAAATGAGACCTGTTGAAAGTGTTCCAGGAATGGTGGGAGGGAGGATAAAGGAGAATGATGGAGAGGATGAATTCAACTATTACATATTGTGAGAGCTTTTGTAAATGTCACAATGTACCCCCGGTACAACAATAATAAATAAATAAATACGTAAAAGATCAATTGTGTCAAACTCTGCAAGTAGCCAATAAAATGAGGTCTGAGAATTGAATTGCATGTTTGTGGGGCTGGTAGGAAATAGAGAGGAATTGAAGCTGGTGAGAACTGAGTAGTTCGAGGAATTTTGCTGTAAGAGGGGGATGAGAATGAAGTGGGGAGATAAAAGAAAAGCTGTACTCAAGTTGTTGGTTGGCCCAGGCATGGTGGTTCAAGGCTGTAAATATGGGCCACTTGGGAAGCAGAGGTTGAGAGGATTGCCGTTTGAGGCCAGCCCAGGCAATAAGAATCTGGGTGTGATGATGCATGCCTGTCGTCCCAGCTCTGCAGGGAAACACAAATAGGAGGATTGAGGTCCAGACCAGTCTGGGCATAAAGCAAGGCCCTAACTCAAGAGTAACCAATGGCTCATGCCTGTAATCCTAGCTACCCAGGAGGCAGAGAACAGGAGGATCGAGGTTCGAAGCCAGCCGCAGGCAAATAATTCTTGAGACCCTATCTTGAAAGAACAAAAAAATCACAGAAAAAGGGTTGGCTGAGTGGCTCAAGCATTAAGAGCACCTCCTGTCTAGCAAGCATGAGACCCTGAGTTCAAACCCCAATGCTGCCAAAAAAACCAGAATAACCAATACAAAGACAGGGCTGGAGGCATGGGTCAAGTGGTAGAGCTCCTGCCTAGTGAGTAGGAGTCCAATATAGCCAAAGGAAAAAAAAATGACAAAGGTTGGTTTGGGCTGTGTTTTGGTTTTTTTTTTTTGCGATGTAGCCCAGGTGATCCTCCTGCCTCCACCTCCCACGTGCTGGGATTTCAGTGTGTTTGTTCTTCAGTACTCAGATGTGACAGCTGAAGAGACAAAGCTAACGAAAGCTCTTTCTCACCACCCGTTCTCAGCACTTCTCCCCCATGACCTGGAATGCTGGCATTCTCAGTCCTCTGTCCCACAACCCCTCCCTCCTCCTCCACACTTTCGCCCAGCCCTGCTCTGTTTATTCCCATAACTGGTGCCAGTTCCTCTCACTTGTCGTTCTCCAGCCAGGCTCTCTCTCCTGCTTCTAGATCTGCAGATCAAGCTACCTATCAGCACCTTCACTTTGGTGTCATCCAAACTGTAACTATAGACACCCCCAAGCCTGCTCCTCTAGGACACCATCTCAGAAAATGGGACCACTCTCCATCTAGCTGCACAATCAGAATCCAACTCCTCCCTCCTCTCACCCATCAAAAGTTCCCCAGGTCCTATGATCACCTGCTTGTTGTCTCCCCACTCTTGGGCCCCACGCTCTCCTTCCTCCCCCCCTTAAGCCAGGCTGAGCCATCTCCTGCCTGTACAGCTGGCACAGTCTCTGTCAGCTCATTACTTGCTCTTTCCACCTTTCCTTCCCAAGGCAACAACAGCAAATGGTGTCACTTCAGTGCTTAAAACCTGTAAATGGTTTCCCAAAGTTACAAGACCCAGTAGTCTGCTGTGGCCTCCATCTCTTTCTCTTTCACTCTTGACAACGATTTAAAATAATCTGGCTGGGAGTGTAACTCAGGTTTTTGCATGTGAGAAACCCTGGATTTGATCCCCAGCACCAAAAATAAAGTGAAATAAAATAGTATACAAACATAAAATAATATTCAACACATCTTTTTGGGTACTAAAGTCCTTAATGATGGGAAAAGACAAGGAATTGCCTCAGAAGATTGGGGTTCCACTCCAGGCTCAGGGCTTCCCCACAAATGCAACCTCCTACCAGACATTTTATCCACTAAGCAGTTCATCTCAGAACTTCTGACGGCCACCTCCTTCAGCACGCATCATTCTCAAACTTAATGACATTCTTCCTAGGAGAATTAAAGACATCATGCATGTGAAAGCATTTCCTCTCTATGTAGATGACACATAAGTGACTATTAATGAGATTGTCAATGTCTTAAAAAGCATGTCAGCCCTGAGGCTACATCTTTTTCATTTCAGTATGTTTGTGCCACACATATATACATACACAGTGTGCACTGATCAAATCCAACCTCCCTTTATCCGCCGTCTCCCCACCCACCCCACTTCTCCATCTCTGTCAATCACTATTCTGCATTAAGATTGACTTTTAGCTTCCACACATGAGACACAGCCAGGATGCTTGTCCAGGTCAGCTTGCTTCACTTAACATCATGTCCTGAGGTTTCACATTATTTCTCCTATTGGGACTGAACACCAAATCTCATCAGACCAATTTATAAAACATCCATAGACTGCTCAGCACTTAGGGCTGGATCACTCGAACTGTGGACCTATGTGCAAGCTGCTTTTCTTTCTTTTAGATGGCTTGGTTGGGTGAGATTCCAGCATTACCTGTTTTTGGAGACGGAACAAATGTGATTCCAGCAATTCATGTTCTTGATCTAGCTGGGTAAGCATTCTCCCAGAAATGTGACTACCCTAGTTGATTAATGTGTTTATCCATAAACTAACTTTTTTTTTTTTTTTGCAGTTCTGGGGCTGAAATTCAGGGCCTTCACCTTGAGCCACTCCACCAGCCCCTTTTTGTGATAGATTTTTTTTGAGATAGGGTCTTTCAAACTTTTTGCCCCGGCTGGCTTTGAACTGAGATCCTCCTGATCTCTGTCTCCTTAGTAACTAGGATTACAGGCGTGAGCCACCAGTGCCCAGCCATAAACTAACATTTAGTGAGCAAGACAACAACCCTATGAACGAGGCACTGTTGCTCCACTTTGCATTTGATGGAGTATTGTCTGCCTACAAGCCTCACTCTTCTAATGCAAGTTCAGGTTCATCTTAAAAACTGTGTCAGCAGAGTTGCAATTCTGGCAGTACATGCTGGGAATGTGATTTCTTTTTCCTTTGCCCCAGATCAGATTGCTATGGTAAGTCCACCAGTTTAAATTCCAGAAAGCAGATGGCGAACTATAAACCTGAAGCCTTTTATTTTCTTTTGAGACAGAGTCTTGCTGTCCTCCTGCCTAAGCCTCCCAAGTTCTGGGATCACAGTTGTAAACAACTCTGCTTTTAAGGAAATAAGACAATAGTTTATTCTGAAGCAAATATGAGTGAGTATGGTCCAGGAACACAAATTCAAGCTATCCTGAATGATGTGTTCTTCTGTGGAAGAGGTTACATGAATTTTATAGCCATAGAACAAAGAAAATCATACATCAATACATTCCATAAATGCCTTGGTGAGGCATTAGCGGTAGAACTACCACAGAGTTGGGAAATCTTTTCTTTAGGTGGCAGATATTATTGTCCAGCATTTTAACTTTAGGGCTGGGGAGGCTAGAGGTCGCCAAGCTTAACAATGCATTCCAATAGGTTTACCTAACAGTCGTAGAGCGTTAAGTCAAATACAAAGGTTCAAAGTAGATGGCTATTTTTCTAAAGGGCCTTTGATAGCCCAAGATAACGTCTTGTCAACCTGCCACATTCTCTCTCTCCTCGGTCACGAGCTTGCTCTCAGCGGAGATCCAACAGGTACACAGGACCTTCAGTATAGATGTGGCTCCCCAGAAGACCAGCTCACGGTTAACCCATGCTTGGCACATCCACTGACCCTCCAACCCCGTGCCTAGACAGGCCCAGAGACCCTTCTTAGAAGACCCTGGCTTAAGCACTAGGTCAATGAGCTGGTTCCCTGTGTCTGTGGTATTCAGTCACCTCTGCATTTCAGGGTCCAGGGGCTTCACTCACATGTCAGGCTCACTCACATTCCCAAGTTTCCCCACATCCACTGGCCACCAGTAAATTAGTCCTGATGCCAGACAGTGTTACAGATTTATCAGGTAACAAATGAAATCTAAACTTCAGAGCTACTCTCCTATGTGGGTTCCTTTCAAAGCCCTGAATCTAATTTTTATTATTGTTCTTAAAGAAGGATCTCTTAAATTATGTAAGTTTCAGACCCACAAAAGCTAGATCTGGCTGGGTGTGGTGGTGCACATTTATAATCCCAGTACTTGGGAGGCTGACGAAGGCGGATTTCGATTTTAAGGCCATTCCGGCTACATAGCAAGATCCTGTCTCAAAAAAGCACCTAGATCTGCTCTAGCCAACATTAATTCTGGGACTTATGGGGCCAAAATGTGCCCTTCCTTTTTTTTTTTTTTTTGTTATTACTGAGATTTGAACTCAGGGTCTCCCACCTGCTATGCAGGCACTCTATCACCTGAGCCATACTCCCACCCCTTTTTTGCTTTAGTTATTTTTTGAAAAGGGTCTCACTTTTTTTCCCCCAAGGACCAGCCTGGCTGGCTCTGAATTTGGAAAGATTCTGTAAATTCTCTGTGTCAGATTTTCTCAGTTATGAGGCGGGGACAGTAATAGTGCCTATCTAATAGGGTTGTCCTAAGCATTCAGTAGGCTAACACATCTAAAGCCCTTGCCACAGTCCTGGCACCAAGGGAAGCATTCAGAAATGTTGACAGTCATTAATCCAGAGTAGGAAATCTTAGGCTCCGTTGCGGGGTTGATGCATGACTGCCTTACGAGAATCACAGCTTCTTTGGGTCTGTATGTTACTTTGAGAAACACCTATCCTAAGCACAGCTGTGAGAGTCAGATGAACCACTGGGTGGGCAGGGGCTTCGTAACCTGAAGTCAAGGTCAGGTGCTCTGGTTGGAGATGGCACGGTAAACCAGAAAGAAAGCAGGATGGAGCCAGGTGATCGGCATCATAGGCTGCTTCCTCCATTTTCCCAGTAGCCCTTCAGCCTGAGAAGCATCACTTAACACCTTCCTCACCTATAGGGTGCGAGAAATAGCCCCAACCCCGACCTCTACCTCGCTGGAGGTTAAGTCAGATGATTTACTAAAGCAACAAACACCATGCAGACTCTGTGGGGATGGAGTTCAGGTTAAAATTCACCTTTTCTCCTCTGATGATTATTTTACCTGTTGATCTGCAGAGTGATACAAAACATAATAGACCATGTACCCAAGGTTCACTACCTGGTTGCTGTGGACGAGTCCGTTCATACCCTGGAAGACCTGGTCAAGGTACAATGGTTTGTTTCTTACCATATCTTGATGACGTGTCTCAAATCGTTTACCCCTAAACTATAGTTATGAAATTATAACTACTATAAAGTGGAGGAAGCAGACCGGGATGCCGATCACCTCCCTCCATCCTGCTTTTTTCTGGTTTACCGTGCCATCTCCAACCAGAGCACCTGAACTTGACTTCAGGTTACGAAGCCCCTGCCCACCCAGTGGCTCATCTGTTAGTTGTGCTACAGGACGGGGAGTCCCAAAATAGAATGTCCTTAAAACTCAAACTCACTATCTGTATTTGCCAAGAGTGCTCTGGGAATTACTACCCAAATGTGCACGGAGGGACACCAGAGCTGGGTGGAGAGTAGCACACAGGCTGGAATACTAAAATGTCTGCAGGAACTTGCCCCCAAAGTACTGTTATGGTCACTTCCAAGAGCTCTAGGAAAGGGGCTGCCTCTCCCAGACCAGGCCAGGCCATGCTGGTCGATGATGTCACCATCTTGTAACCCAGCTAGTGTGACCTTCTCCTTCCCGTCTGCTGGGGCCTCGTACAGGGGCCCAGTTCAAAACATGGCTCCCATAATTTTTGTTTAACAAGACCACAGCACAGAATCTCTTTTACTAAGCCTCTAACAGTCCATGTAATTCTCCATGGACACATTTGACTCCCTTTTCAAACTGGGAGCACCATGAGGGAGGAGATGGGGCTTTTCTCACCTCCATCTCTGACTTATTTTTAGAACAAGGAAATAAATGAATACCCTCTGCACACTATCCTCTAGTTTGAAAATGCTATTTTTCCTATATTTAGTTATATTCACATTCATTTAATAAGTTTTTATATAAAGTCTTGAAAATAAACTAAGTATCTCTGTTTTTTCCCTCACAGTGCATCAGTAAACATACCGGCCCTGGAAAAATTCAGAAAGTACCCAAAGAAAATATCTTCCTAAGCAAGGAGTTAACAGTTAGTATATAAGAAATTCTTTTAAAAAAAACCTATTTTCCTAAATATTATTATACTTGAGTGGGAGAACTGGATGCATGGTGGCTGTAGGCCAGCAGAAATGTTTCTCCCATTCTTATTGTTCTTTTGAATTTTGAAGCATATTTAAAATATGTTTAAGAGGACTGGAATATAGTAGAGCACTTGCCTCATATGTGCAAGGCCAGGGGTTTACACTGGAAAATAAGAAAAAAGAAATCTTATGATTGGATTTCTAGCTTTCTACTCTGAGCTGTCCATCCAGAAGAGCCAGGGCTGCCTGCCCCAAGACAGGGGCTGGAGATAGGCTGGGGTGTAACTCAGTGGCAGAGCACTTGCCTAGCACACACAAGGCCCTGGGTTCCATCCCCAGCACCACAATAAATAAACGAATAAATGTACAGTACAAGTATTCGGTTATCACATCCATAGGTGCTCTATGAATCTTCAGCACAGGATTGATTGACTTTCATCATATTTGGCAAATGTATATTGATTTTTCTTTAGAAAGTATAATGACTTGGGTTTCATCAAAATGAAACAAAAAAAGACAAATCTTTCACTTTCGTTTGACTCTTAGCAAGAGCATCTTGACCACTTACTTGTCAACCTGAGAATGGAAGCTCTGTATGTGAAGGAGAATTTTAACATCCGCTGGCTTGCCCAGACTGGATTTGTGGAAAACATCAACACTATCCTCAAAGAGTACAAGCAAAGCAGAGGCTTGCTGGTAACTATCACCATTTCCTACTGAAACTTCTCATTTAAGCAAAGTAAGTGAAATTTAACCTTTGGTGTGATTAGAGCAGTGAAAGTCTTCTTTTTCAGACACCCAACTTCTCATTTCAAGTTTATTTCTTTTCAATGCTGGGGTTTGAACTTGGGGCCTATACCTTGAGCTACTCCACCAGCTCTTTTAGTGATGGGTATTTTCAAGATAGGTTCTTACAAATTATTTGCCCAGGCTGGCTATGAACCATGATCCTCCTGATCTCTTCCCCCTGAGTAGCTAGGATTATAGGCGGAAACCACTGGTGCCTGGCTGTTTTTCAAGTTTGTACAGCTTTGTTCAGGTCTAATAATTTGCACGTATATTGTATTAATACTTTTCAACCAAACATTTAAATTTTCTAAAGTAAATATTGATAAGTGTTATGAAAAGTACAGCATGATAGTAAGCTTGAGAATGATGGACACAGGTATCTGTAGAAGGAATATTGCCGGTGCATTACTTGGTAGGCAGAAGCAGGAGGGCTACAAGTTTAAGGTCAACCTGGGCTACATGTTAAGTTCCAGACCAGTCTGGGTTAACAAGTGAAATCCTGTCTCAAAAAAACAGCAAAAAAGAATTATCATACTTACCTTTCACTACAAAAAATAAGTGTGTGAGTAAAGCATATGTTAATTAGCTTCATTTAGACATTCCATTATGTGCATTATAGAGTACATGATAAATACACACATGATGCACATACACATTTATTTGTTACTTAATTTAAAATAAGAATGCCTACCTTAAAAAAGTTGTGTTTAAATGACCAATAAATCCCGACCAATAGAAAGAATCAAAGCAGTGAGCAGACTTCTTTTCCCTCCTAATTACCCTCTCCCATATGTAGATCCAGCACTGAAACAGGCATGCCCCTTTGCCTGTGCTGACCTCAAACCACAATCCTCCTATGTTCACCTTTTGAATTGCTGGATTACAGATATGTGCCACCATGCGCAGCCTCAAGTAGGTTTTTTTATTGGAAAAAGTGATAGTTTAAATTACTGTTGCTTTTTTTTTTTTTTGGTGGTACAACAGAATTTGAACTCAGTTACCCTGTGCTTGCTAAGCAGGCACTCCACCACTCAAACTGCACCTCTAGCACTATTGCTCTTAAGCAATAGTTTAAAAAAAAAAAAAAAGAGTAGGAGAAAAGTGACCAGGAGGCAGAGGCAGGAAAATTGCAAGTTGGAGACCAACCAGGACTACATGGTAAGACCTTGTCTCAAAAGAAAGTGTATGTTTAAAAAAGAATAAATTAAAAATAATCCACAACCAAGTTCAGTCCAGAAACAATATTCAGGCAATAATACAGGGCCCCTGTGTACTGAATCCAAAATTTGTGAGCCTTTTGGGTGTTGCTAGCTCCATGAGTGTGGCCTAATACAATGACACTAGTAGCATATAATGCCTGAACACTTATTCACTTGCACTTTTGAGGTGTTCCTGGGCACATCCTGTAGAACCCATCCCCCTCCAGGCCCAGGTCATTGCACATACTAAATACTACTACATTCCTGTTGAGTGAATGATCTTGAACCAGGTCATGAACCAGTCCACAGAAGAGCAAGAGTTAGCCTGCGAGGGTCCTGAGCCTGTGAAAAAGGCCCATCCCTGAAATAACAGCATTCAGCACTCACTCTAAGTTCCTCTTCCTCCTCTTGCAGCCAATCAAGATTTGTATTCTCGGTCCTCTTGCTGTGGGAAAATCCAGCATTGCTGAAGAACTGGCCAAGCACTACAAACTGCATCACATTAAAATAAAGGATGTGATTTCTGAAGCCATAGCCAAACTGGTAATGCTTGCAACTACTTTATTGGGAATTTTGATATTTAAAAAGCACTTTTCTTTGTCTTGTCAGAATCGAGCAACCAATCGCACATGTCAAAGAGATTTGTTACTTTAAATGGATTTTGTTTTGGGCCCCAGTTATGAAAACCCAGAGTCCACCAGGGTTTTCCTCTGGAAGGTGGAAGGCATCCTTCTCTGGTTGCCCTTGTCTGCCTCCAGCTCTTCCTCCAAGTTTATCTGTCTTCTCTCTGTTGACTGGAAAGTTTTTAATTTTTTTCAGGGTTTTATAAAAATATATTCTTGCTGCATTTTTCTCAGGATATTAGACTATTTAATAACTGCATTTTGACATCTTTTTGGGAGTGGTAGATACAACATGTGTTTTGTGGGGTTTTGGTGCAGGGGATGGAACTCAAGGCCTTAAGCATGTATTCTACCACTGAGCCACACCTCAAACCTAAAAAATGTCAATTTCTACAAAATGTGTCTCCTTCAAGTCAGATACAGCCTAGTACCTTAGAAAATGCTGATTCTCAAGCAGTTGTGGTATAGCACAGAAATATATTATGTTCCTAGAGAACAGTTAAGAAAAGCCTTGGGGCTCTCACCTATCTCTGCATGCTTTGCATGTCTGTCTAACATTCTGATTTGGTACCAGACTTTGGCCAGGATCACCTGCCAGACGATTAGTGAGCAACCAATTGGGGCAGGGCGCTATCCAGTTTGAATGTCCTTGTGGTGTGCAGGAGGCGATCATTGCACCTAAGGAAGCAGGGGAAGAAGAAGAAGAAGGTGAGGAGGAGGAGGAGGAGGAGAACGTGGAAGATGCCCAGGAGCTCCTGGATGGTGTCAAGGAAAGCATGGAGCAGAATGCAGGTAACACATACGCCATGCAGGTTCTCCAGGCCAGCTGACATGAGCTACCTGTCTTCCGTTAAGAGTGAAGTGCCGCAGAAATCATGATAACCCATTCGTAATCTCACCTACCAGGGAGAAAAATCATTGTTAATATTTTGGTGTCTATCTGAGAACTTTTTTTTTTTCTTTGCAGTCCTGGGTTTGAACTCAGGGCCTATACTTTGAGCCACTCCACCAGCTTTTTTGTGGGTTTCCCCAACCCCAAGATAGGGCTCGCCAACTATTTGCCCAGGGCTGTCTTCGAACCGTGATCCTCCTGATCTCTGCCTCTTGAATAGCTAGGATTACAGGCGTGAGCCACAGGCACTCAGCTGAGAACTTAAGTTTAAAAAAAAAAAAAAAAATCAAGGGCTGGGAGTATAGCTCAGTGGCAGAGCATTTGTCTAATGAGTGTGAAGCCCTAAGTTTGATCCCAAGCACCTCAACACACACACACACATCACAAATGCGTGTTCATAAATATTTTCTAAGTATCAAACATCATTAATTAAAAGGCAGAGACAAACCAAGACAAATATTTGCTACCAATATGATAAGGAGTTAATATCCTTATTAAAAAAAATGCCCAGGCATTATTATTAAGTCATTAATAGAAAAAACAGATGAAGGGGGACAATAATTGAAGGCGGCTGGGGGTCTCCTCCAGGCCAGTGAAGGGTTGAGCCTGCTGACTCTCCTGCCGCCCTCCTTGTCTCTGCCCTGTTGGTTCTGCATCAGAAGAACAGTCTGTTCTTGGGTGCATAGGTCCCAGTTTGCGGAGGCTCTGGATCCAGGTGGCCACAGCTGATGGCTGCAAGGAATCAAGTGTGGAGTAATCCTAAAGAAATGAGTTGCACAATTGTGAAGGTCCTTGTTGAAAGCCTGAGAGCTCATGGCCATGCAGCAGAATCTCTGAGCAGACCACAGCTCTCCACAAGGAGACCTCAGTACAAGTAATGAAGCAGCTTCAGGAAGAAATTCAAGGACTTGATAAAGTTGCAAAACACTGGCCATGGTCCAGATTGCTTGTGGGAATGCAACAAGAAATCAGATGAAGCACAGGATTGCAACAAGAAGAAGGAGCACGGTGTACATCTCTGGAGGAACACCAGCCTGCAAATGCTTACATTGTTCATAGCTAGCTGAAAAGATGTGGACATAACAATGAAGTTAAAAGAACTCCAGTGAACCTTTTTCGATGGTATTGACCAAAACCCCTGGAGTCAACAGTCTGCCTAAACTTAGAAGGCAAGATATTCTGAGCTTGAGTCAATGTTAAAAGATCTACTGTCATATTCAGAAATGAAGGAATTTGGAGAGTATCAACATTTTTTACTTGACAATTCTAGAAACAATGTGAAAAGACATTGGTTTTCATTTTCTAGGATGAGGGAGGAGAGAATGTACCAATTTGCATTCAGGTACAAATGGAAACAACTCTGGCAATAGAAAATAGGCAGTTCACATGGTCGCCATCTGTAATCTCAGATATTTGGGTGGCATAGGTAGGAGAATGGCGGTCCACGCCAGTCCCAAACAAAAACACAAGGCCCTTTCTAAAAAATAAAGCAAAAAAGGGGCTGGTGGAGTAGCTCAAGTGATAGAGTGCCTGCCTATCAAGCATGAGGCCCTGAATTCAAACCGCAGTGCCACCACCAAAAATAAATAAATAAACTAATGGTGTTTTATATGTACCACAAATAAAGAAGGCTATTTAATTATAGCTAATTCACCACAACTGATACCTAGTTAACAGTGGTCTATAACATACTCAAGTGTATGAAATATTTCAGGAATACAAGAAGGAACATTACTTGCTAAGAAAGAAGAAAAATAGACATACTTAGAAGTTAACCTACTCCTTTGAAAGAACAAGTTTTGGTCCTCAGTCATTAATGAAAACAAGATTTCTCACTTCCCTGGTTGGTATTTAAGGATATTATATAGTTCACATAGATAACAGACTTGAAATGTTTGGGGGTTTTTTTGGCAGTACTGGAGTTTGAACCCAGGGCTTTTTGCATGAGAGGCAGGTGCTCTACTGCTTGAGCCACACCTCCAACCAGAAATGTTTGGTGTGTAATAAGATAGGTATGGTCATTTTAGAGTAAATTCAGAATTCTTCTAGTTCATGGAAACCCATTGCCCCCTATCCCCCCAACCCCTCACCTCCCCACCTCCCCACTCCCCCCACCTCATCCCATATATACCATCCCATATATACCCAAATACATTCTCAGGGCCTCACACTTGCTCAGCAGGCGCTCTACCACTTGAGCCCCTCCGCCAGTCCTTTTTTGTGTTGGGTATTTTCAGGATAGAGCCTCACAAACTACTTGCCCTGGCCGGCTTCGAACCAAGATCCTCCTGATCTCTACCTCCTGAGTAGCTAAGGTTACAGGCGTGAACTCTATCCATATGTCTTTAAGCAGAACATTAAATTTATGTCTAAGAGTATGTACTGCACAGAAGCCTATCAACAGTAACGAGTGATTTTAAAAAGCTGGATAGCATGGGCCAATAATTCAAGCAGGAAGAAATATAGAGAAATGTAAATAAAATGTTCTTGCTTGCTTGGTAGTTAATAGTAGCCAGTTTGTTGAACACGTTGATCACAATAAAGTGTCACTTTATTTTTGTGCTCCTGGGGATTGAACCAAGGCCTCCCATGAGCCAGGCAAGTGCTCTACACCCCTACCTCATAAGTTGTCACATTCACTCAAACTCTGCACTCATTCTTTGGATGGAATTTCAGGCTGGTCTCATTGCAGCTCTCAGATGTGGAGTGAGAAGTCCCTTTATTTAATCATGCCATTCTAGTCAAATCTTCCCAACCTGGGTTTTGAACTAAGGGATCAGGAAAGCAGAAACTATTTTGTTGTAATACTTACTTAGATGGTTGGATCCTCCATTACACTGGCTGTCTTGTGTGATCTGTAGACCAGGGCATTGGATAAACAATAGTCAGGACTCTTACCCAACACCATCTCTACTCTCCCATCCTCTCATCCACCTTTCTTCACTTTCCTCTCCATACTCCTCATCTCTTGCTGGCTCCCAGGGTTGGGAGCAGGCAGCAGGAGTTGGGGGACAAGGACAGAGGCATCTGTGACCTACTCAGGTAGCAACTTGTTCTCTTCTGTGCTTCCGTGGGCTCTACAGTCTCCACTGAGACACTGCGTGTCCTGGGGTGCAGATCCTGACTGCCCTCCATGGTCACCCTCCCAGCACAGCACACCTCTGCTCCCCCAAGGTAGTCCTTTTCCCAACTACTCATTTCCACCTTGGTTGGGGACCTAGTTTCTGCCCCTAAGCAACCAGATCCCTAGGCCAGAGGCCCAACTCTGGGTGTTTCGATGTGTCAGGTCTGGCCACATGCCCCTAAGAAAGCAAACAGAAGTAACAGCGAAAAGGCAAGGAAAGGACCTTAATCAAAACACCCATTTGGGGGGTGGAGGGGTTGGCACAAACAATGTATACATATGTTAGTAAGGGTAAAAACGATAAAACAAAAGGACAGAAAAAAATTCACCTTCCTAGCAATGAGCAGTCAAAGGGTTTCATCATTATAACTTTGTTTCCAGAGTCAAAACTGCCCTTCCTATTTACCCTTGAAGCTATTTCAATAAAATTTCTTCCTAGCGGGCATTCAAAAAACAAAACAAAACAAAACACCCATTCATGGAGATGGAAAGTAAGCATTTCTGCCCATCTCCAGGTACTGACATGAGTTTTGTTTTTTTTTTTCTTTGTCATAGATATTTATTGTGAATATTTTCTCCCAATTTGTAGTTTGCCTTTTCACTTTCCTAATAGTGCCTTTCACACTTTTGAGGACAGATTTGTCTATTTTTTTTCTTTTTTTTTCCTGTATGTCTTCACTTTTATTTATTTATTTTTTATTCATATGTGCATAAAATGCTTGGGTCATTTCTCCCCCCTGCCCCCACCCCCTCCCTTACCACCCACCCTGCCCCCTTCCTCTCCCCCCCAACCCCCTTGAACCCGGCAGAAACTATTTTGTCCTTATCTCTAATTTTGTTGAAGAGAGAGTATAAGAAATAATAGGAAGGAACATGGGGTTTTGCTAGTTGAGATAAGGATAGCTATACAGGGAGTTGACTCACATTGATTTCCTGTGCATGTGTGTTGCCTTCTAGGTTAATTCTTCTTGATCTAACTTTTTCTCTAGCTCCTGGTGCCCTTCTCCTATTGGCCTTAGTTGCTTTTAAGGTATCTGCTTTAGTTTCTCTGCGTTGAGGGCAACAAATGCTAGCTAATTTTTTAGGTGTCTTACCTATCCTCCCTTGTGTGCTCTCGCTTTTATCATGTGCTCAAAGTCCAATCCCCTTGTTGTGTTTGCCCTTGATCTAATGTCCACATATGAGGGAGAACATATGATTTTTGGTCTTTTGGGCCAGGCTAACCTCACTCAGAATGATGTTCTCCAATTCCATCCATTTACCAGCGAATGAATGATAACATTTCGTTCTTCTTCATGGCTGCATAAAGTTCCATTGTGTATAGATACCACATTTTCTTAATCCATTAGTCAGTGGTGGGGTATCTTGGCTGTTTCCATAACTTGGCTATTGTGAATAGTGCTGCAATAAACATGGGTGTGCAGGTGCCTCTGGAGTAACCTGTCTGACATGAGTTTTGAGCTTTGGGTTTAAATAGAGGAAGAATCGGGGAAGGAGCAAGAGGTGTGCGTAATGAAGTAGTCATGATCGTAGTGTGGTTGGTTGAGCGTTAACTCAGCTATAGTTCTGCTAGGTGGCTCTGAAGAAATCCTTATCCATTTAGGGGACAATCTGGCTGTGAGGGGGTGAGGTCATCTGTGAGGAATCCATGGTGACTGCAGGCTTAAGACAATGACTGGAAGCTTTCAGATGGCTTTCCAGGAGTCTGGGACAGGACATTCCAAACACTGACTGTGAGACACCTCAGTTACTCTCACCTCTGTGCCTTCAGAGATGGGTGATGAGACAGTGAAGTATCATCAGTTTTTAGACATACACTCACTCCTTCAGTGACTAACATGCCTATGTGCAGAGTAAAGCAGGAGTCTGATCTAAAGTAAAGGAAGCAGAGATGCCAGGCTTTTCTCCTGCATTTAGATACCTTGTGAGCCATGTGAGGAGTCAGCACTTTTAGCAAAAGCAGTCTGAGTACTGTCATACTAACTTAATCCTCACTTCCCCAGAAGTCATCAGTATCCCCTGTGTCCACTCAGGGAATGTGCAGCTGCCAGGACTGTTTGACCAGCCTGAGGGGGTTCCCTCTGCTTCCTGAACCTTACTCCTCCAGTTTCTTATGCCTCCTTCCACATTAGGTCTTCAGTCCCTCCATGTTTTCCATGAAGTCCAGACTACCCCAGTGCCTCTTCTCTTCTTCCTTCAGCTGCTCCAGTCTAGTGGAGAAAATGGTTTGGGGCATAGACACCCAAATGTCCACTTAAAACAGCTGGCTGCCTGAGTCATGGACTGGTCAGGAAGGAAATGGAATTTAGAATCCCAGGAGATTTCCAGAGGAAAAGTTTGGACCACAGAAACCCCAGGTGAATACTTAGAGATTCAGCCTTGCCCCTGTGGCATGTGGGATTCTCCATTCTGGTTTTAAAGAGGCCAAGAGTCCTGGCTCACACCTTGGGAAAGGGGAAAAGCTCAAGAGGAGATATTTCATGGAAAGAACACCCAAGGGAGGGGCAGAGAATGGGAATTATAGAAATGAATGGGTGTGTACTTTGGCTATAGTCTAAGCCCAGAAACAGGGCTCTGGTAGGCATGAACTCTGCTGCCCTCTACAGAAAGGGCAGGAACATCCAGTGTTTGGGCACAGAGGGTGAAGCAGGTATCTACTTACTGAGACTTACAGAAATGGTCTTTCCAAGGACCCAAAGATCTTATCCAAGGACTCAGTGTAAGAGGATTAGGTGAAATACTCCTGAATTCTCTTCATGCCCAGGGAGGTGACCATATAGGACAAAACCTGTGATTGAGACAATGTGGAGCTGAGAGCAGTTCCCAAGCTCAGGAAGAGCCTGTCCTTAGCAGGAAACTCTTCTTCCTCAGGTGCTAGAGAGGTCAGCCTTTGGCAAGAGAGATGTAAAGGGGCTTTGGGAGAGAGGGAGAAAGTGTTTTTTGGAGGAAGGTAAAATGTCAGAACAAGCTTTTCTTCTACCTTAATTATCCCCCAGGTCTCCCCTCCCCTCAAGACACACACACACTTCTATGAGATTGGAATGCTTCATGAAAAGATCATGTCTTCTTCCTCAAGTCATCCAAAAATCCTTCCCAGTCTTATTGATCTGAAACCAGAACATGGACCTTGATTATGTCTGAACAAAATGAGACCTTTGCACCCAGGCATGGAGGACACCAGAGTATGGTTCTCCTTCACATGGTCCCATTTGTTGTCATGTGACTCCAATGATTTCAGCAGCCAAGTTTCACAAGTCCCACAGGAGGCGTCTCTGGGTCCTACTCATAGGTGACTCTGTCGTGTACCACCCTCCCCCACCCCCCACCCTCATCCCGTCAGCCCCTAAGCCAGACAGGGCCTTAGTTATCGACTGGTTGTCTGTTCAGTTTCCTATCATTATTGGACTAGCCTTTCAACTTATCTGTGTTTGAAATTACAAAGGGAAAAAGGTTGCAAATATATGGACTTCATAATATCTGTACTGTGCATGAATTACAGTGATCTCTGGCCTTGTAGCTACTTTAAAACTGTTTCAGTAATTACAAATATTACTGGTACTCAAAAGATAGATTTGAAATTTAAAAAGCAGGGCGACATTTTTAAAGCTCTTCCAGTAGGGGTCCAGCCATTATGGAAACAGAAGCTACACCACCATTAGACCTAGCAATCTCTCTCCTGGGTGTTTAACAAAAGGAGATGATGTCGCCACCTTTGCACGTTCGTGGTCATTTCGGCAATCTGCACAATAGCCAAGTATGGAAATATCCTAAACGTCCTGAAATAAACTCGAGAGGCTTTGCAGGGGACCGCAGCTGGACTTCTGACTGTGCGTCTTTACCTTAAGGAGGAAACCTTTGAAAAATGAAAACCAATTAACTGCTTAACTAAAACCTGTCTCTGAATACTCATGGATCACTTGAGGGTTATTTATTTATTTATTTATTTGGTTGTGTTTTTCTGGTTTTATTTCTTTGTGCCAATACAAACCTTACTGGAAGTAATGTAAAGTCATCTGGAAGAATTTTATTATGCGATATAATACCTTTGATCTTTTTCTGCTTTAGCCATGACACTTAAATTTCTGAACTACATAGTATTTTTTTTACAACTCTTTTGTTGTTGTTGTTAGGCAGTACTGGGGTTTGAACTCAGGGCCTCATGCTTGCTAGACAGGTGCTCTACCCCTTGAGCCACTCTGCCAGCCAGTATTCTCTGAATCCTTTACTGCCTAAAGATCTGTATGACACTGAAAGGTAGAAGAAAGGAGAGGTGTTTTAATTAGATCATTTTATTGTCATGAATAGGGTGATAAAAAGTGCCCCCAAACTATTTATTTTATATCATAGACTCCTTAATAAATGACAAGAGAGTACATATTCTGGTAAGAGTTAGTGAGGTGAATTTCTCAGCCTCAGTAAGTTCCCTTTTCTGCTATGTATACACTAGGCAATGTAAAGATGGGCCCTGTCCCGAATAACTGACAGCTGTTCAAACAGTTAGAGGACCTGAAGAGACTGGGCCTTCGGGTGGAGTCGCATCACACAGTCATTTAGCCATCGGCCAGCTGTAGAACTAACTCCTCCCTCCCAGCCTCTCCCCGAACTTCCAGGAACCCTGTGTTGGGGCCAGAGAGGGAACTGCCCAGTGGACAAAGGTCAGAAACACCACTAGCAGAGATGGTGTGGAGCAGGGCGAGGGCACATTCTCTTCTGCAGCTTTATTTTTAATGCTGTTTGTTTGCTTGTTTGTGGTGCTGGAGATGAGCTTAGGGCCTCACTTATCTAGGCAAGTGCTCTACCATTGAGCTCTACTTCCCCTCCTCCCCACACCCCTACCCTCCCTTTTCTGAAGCTTTAAAGAAATCAATGCCTTTGAATGTCAGGTCAAGTTTAATTGTTTTTGTTGTTTGTTTTTCAGGCAGTCCCTCTACCACTTGAGCCAATCCACCAGCCCAAGTTTAACTGTTATTCAAATCTAGCAAATATTTGTTGACCACCTACTTATTTGGGGGGGGGGCGGGTTGCTAGGGATTAATTACAGGTCCTCATGAATGCTAAGCACACACTCCACTATTGAGCCAAACTCCCACCCTTGAGTACCTATCTTCATAAAGCATGGCTAGCAATATACATAAATACTATCTTACTTAACTTTCACAACAGAAGCACTTATTACTGTGCATTAAGGTTACAGAGGTGTAATATTGTTTCGGGCTGGTGTCAAGGGTCCTTGCCTTCACTAGCCCAAGAACTGGCCAGGGAGGCAGTGAATTGACTCACGAGATGACAAGGTCAGCACACAAGTAGGATTTATTAGAGAGAAAGGAAAGGCTACAGCTGGAGCAGTGCAGCGGAGCCTGGAAACTCCCAGTTGTTTACATAGAGGGGTTTTTATTTGGCTCCTTTTGTTGAGGTGGGGGGTCAGGAGTCAGGAGTGGAGTGGTCTTTTACCACATCTCTGCAGGAACATATACACAATCCTGTGAAAGCCTCCTGCTTATCAGCCTTATGGCATTTTGAGGCATCCCCGGGGGGGGGGGGGCCATGACTTGTGAGGCCGCATGTCCTTTTACAGGACGTAGGGCTCACAGTGCTCTCATGGGGAATGGGGGCACTGGCTCATTTTGTCTTCTGAGCCCCCAGACCCAACAATATCAAAACAGAATTGAGCAAGCCCTATAAGCAAGCAGCTCTCTGCCTGCTCTTCTTACTCCTCATTCAACGTCACCCAGAAGTTGGGATCGCACAACATTCTCAAAGTGCAAACATCAGCATTTGCTTTGACTCTTTCTTATAGGCCGGCTTGTTGGGTTCTCCTACTGTATTATTCACTAGAACTCATGTGTCAGGTTCAAAATACAAAACCACATGGTTTTTACTTTAAGAGCAAAGTAAAGGATTTTTCAGTAACACCTCTGACTACACAACAGTTTTCAAGGTAATTAGAACAAAACCCTTGGGCGGAGGTGGGGGGGCATGGTGCAATAGTAGAGTACCTATCAAACAAGCAGGAGACCCTAATTATAAACCCCATATCCCTCCCCCAAAAAACCCAAAACAAAAACCATAACCCTATGTAGAACGTGCTCTACAGTAATACATATTTTTTCTTTTTATCAGGTCGGCTAGAAGATCAATATGTAATCAGATTTCTGAAGGAAAAGTTAAAATCCATGCCTTGTAAGAATCAAGGCTACATTTTGGATGGATTCCCAAAGACCTATGACCAGGCAAAAGACCTGTTCAGTCGTAAGTTTGAGTGTTCTCCACGTTTTGGGTTTATAGTCAGGTAAGTTGCAACCTTATCATTCAAAGAAAGTCATTCCATTAAATCAACAAACAATTGGAGAGACTTATTTTTGACTCTTGGCTTACCTTTTATTAGGTGCATAGCCTTTACACCTCTGTTTTATTTTACTGGAGCATAAATGTTGAACATGAAATATACCCTCTTTTTTTTTTTTTTTTTGCAGCACTGGGGTTTGAACTCAGTTCCTCACACTTGTTTGGCAGGTGCTCTACCACCTGAGCCACTCTGTTAATCATTTTTTTGTGTTGGGTATTTTAGAGATAGGGTCTCATGAACTATTTGCTCAGGCTGGCTTTGAGCCATGGTCCTCCTGATTTCTGCCTCCCACATAGCTGGGATTATAGTCATGAGCCACCTGTGGCTACCAAAATATACCCTCTTAACAAATATTTAAGTGTACAATACACTATGACTGACTCAATATACTCTGTTGTTCTAGAGCTTACTCATCTCACTGGACTCATTGACTAGCAATTCTCCTTCCCCCTACTGGCGGTCCCTTCTCACTCTGTCATTCTATGAATTTGAGGTACCTTGCACTAGTGGACTCATGCATACTTGTTCTTCTGTGACTGACTTATTATTGTACTTAACATAATGTCCTCATGTTGTCATATATGGCAGCCTTTTCTTCATTTTTAAAGCTGCATAGTATTCCATTGCATGTATGTGCCAAATTTTCTCAATCTATTCACCTATTGATAGACATTTAGGTTGTCAGACTGTTTCTAAAACACACATTCTGTGTATGGCTAGTTTCCATTAGTTACTGCTAGGTTAAAATATGGTATTTGAAGTCAGGTGTGGTGGCACATGCCTGCAGTTCCAGCACTATGGAGGCAGAAGCGGGAGGATCTTGAGTTTAAGGCCAGCCTAGGGTATATAGTGAGACCCTGTCTCAAAACAAAACAAAACAAAATTGAATTTTTGCTGTCATTTCCAGTAATAAGTCAATAAACACAACTACTTATATTGTTATTTTATTAGAGGAAGATGAGGAGGAGGAAGAAGAAATCAGAGGCAAAATGTTTCCCATTGATAAATTAATTGTACCTGGTAAGTTTAATTGTAACCTACAGGATAATTTTTTTTTTTTTTTGCCAGCACTGGGGTTTGAACTAAGGGCCCCACACTTGCTAGGCAGGTGCTCTTGCTGCTTGAGCCACTCCACCAGCCCTCCAAGATCAAATTTATAGGAATACTATTCAACATCTCTCTCGTACCAATACAGTCTTTCTGAGTTTGATAAGCTAGATCTATAATAAGGCAAAAAAAATCAGAAGACATGCTCAAGTACAACTCAGAAATTAGAGAATACATGGAGGGGATGGGTGAATGTCAGCAATATTGAAGTTTGCAAGTGGATTGAAATCCCTTGGATAACACTCATTTCTGCAGCTCTCTCCTGCACTTTGTCCAGAGCCTGGTTTCTGGGTCATCTGGGGAGACAGTGAAGGCCTGGATTATGGCAGCTCCTTCCCTGCTCTGGGCTTGGCACTAGTGGTGCTGTGATCTTTTCCAGAAGACACTCAGCTCCTAAATGAGAAGAGCAGGGGAGGCCCTTTTTGTTTCACTGTTAGCATCACAGCAGTTTGAACGTGGCACGCAATTACCCAGAGGTTTCACAGTGTACTACTGAAAGTGAAGCATAAAGACCTTGGCCTATGCAGTCGGACACACTGAGCACAGGGCGAGCATTGCTGTGACCTTCCTGTTAACTTTTAAAAGTTTTGTTGCTGTTTTTCAGTCAATTTGTATTCGGCATAAGCATAGGGAATGATTTTGGGTCATGTGATCAACACAAGAACGGAATGGTTGTTTCCAGCCATCTAGGTCAAGGGTGTAACTAAAAGGGCCTGATCACTGGCATCAAGTCCCTCGAGGCCACAGGTCATGGCTGTAATTATCTCTGTCTTGGTCCAGGCACAACTGGCAGAGAAGACTCTGGAAGCACTGAGACCCCCAGATAGCAATCATCCTCAGAGATGGATGGTTTTTTACCTGTGGGCTCAGAAAGCAGTGGCAGAAGCATGAAGTGCCAAATGGTTGGTTGTTTCACACATCCTATTAATTTAGGTGTATTCCTCATGAAAACTTGAAAAGTTGATTCTCATCCATAACCAGGGGTGTCTAGTTCTTGAGAGTTTATTGCTTCTGGGCAGCAATCACTTACCACAAATTCATGGTAAATTGTAATGCTTTTGCTGAGACAATGAATAAAATTCAGCTCAAAGTGCAACAGGCACCAAGAGAGATATAAGCTCAGTGAACCTTCCCATGATCCTACAAGGCAAGAACTACACCCAAGTTACCAGATTCAGGAGTGAAAGCCCAGAGATGTATCCAAGCACCCTCCACTGGGGAGTGGAAGGGCTTTCATTCAAACTCAGGGCTTCTCACTCTACTTTATCCAGAAAACAGAGTTAATGAAACCACCCATAAGATAAGGAAATGGGAACACAGAAGTAAAGCAACAAGTGATTCTGAATCATGCTCTACTGTGCTGAACACTCTTTGTTGGACAAAGTCCAAACACGGCTAAGATGTAATCTGCTTGGAAGGTTTACTCTGTTCTAGTAAATTGTCTTCTTTCCAGAAATGGTCTTTATTTTCTATCTTCCTAAAAGAAATCAGAGCATTGTCTCACATGGTCTTGTAGGATTTTCATCTCTGGAGGTGGCTGAGTGATGACACAGGGAGGTCCATGTCACTGGAAAAAGACTTTACTCCTCACACTTCCTCAGAGAAGGGGCTCTCCACACCACACAGGACTCCATGAGGAGTCCCTCATGTGGTCAGGAGGCAGAGGCAGGAGCGAGGGCAAAGCCTAGGCCAGAGCTTTGACAGGGTTTTCCCTGGGAAAGTGAGGCAGGCCAGGGTAAAAGCTTGAGATTGTCTATGAAGGGCATCTCTAGCTGCCTGGTACCTAGCCCTGGGGTCATTTAAAGCAGGGAAAACATTGGCTTGGTGTGGAAGAGTGAGCTAAAGGGGGTGATGGCCTGCGGAAGAGGTGTGCTCCCAAGTAACTTGCTTTCTGTCTTTTAGGAATTAGTTAGACCTGGGAGGAGCAGTCTCTCCCCACGCCTGTGAGATGCCCACGATGTCAAAGCATCATGAGATGCAGGAAAAAATGGTTAATACAAGCCCAGGTCCTTGTATTAACCTATGGTGATTCAGCTCTGGCTGTGTTACCTCTCACACCTGACCCATCCTTGTGTTTTTCCATCGGCATCAATTTGATTCTTAGATCTAGCTGAAGGAGACAAACTGTTTTTTTCTTTTGGCGGCACTGGGGTTTGAACTCAGAGGCAGGTATGTTACCACTTGAGCCACTCCACCAGCCCTTTTTTTGTGATGGGTTTGTTTGAGAACTATTTGCCCTGGGGCTGGCTTTGAACCACAATCATCCTGATCTCTGCCTCCTGAGTAGCTAGGACTACAGGTATGAGTTTCCGGTGCCCAGCTAAGAGATAAACTTAAAGTTACATATAACTGATAAATATGGAAAATGTCATTAAAACCTAGATTTTCACATGACTCCAAAAACAGTGACCTCTTTGTCATGTTATACCAAAGATTTGTGATTTCCGATCCACAGATGCCCAGCGTAAGACAGTCGGCATTCTGAATCCTTTTATCACCATACTGCCAGATCCTAAAGTTCTTTATGAATCATAAAGAGAAAGGACTTTTAAAAATGATCTGCAGGGAATTATATTTTATCACATTAAAGTTCTTTGAAGATTGGAAGGCCACGTATGCTACTCACTACTTACCATATTTGATTAACTAGAATCCTCCCAATCACTGAGAAAAAGCTATAATATTATACATGTGAAGAAAACGCCGCACACCATACACAAAGGAGGCTCACGAGAGTTATCTCATGTCCAAAAGTTTAATAAGCAGGGTGGCTGGCCGAGAGAAAATGGCACAGCAGCTTCTCAGCCGGTCTGGTCTTAAGTAGCATTTGGGAGAAAGCAAGGGCTAGGGGACGGTCTTTGATCTGCAAAGGAAGAGACCAGCTGCAGGAGCAAGCTGCAAAGGAGGCAAAGGAGGAGGCGGGAGATAAGGAACAGTGAGCCTTGACCAGCAGAGGATGAGACCGGCTGCTGAAGCAATGTGGAGGGGCGGGCAAGGAAGAGGAGGTGGGAGATAAGGAATGGTGGGTTTTGTTTGTAAGGAGTGAAACCAGCTGCAGTTTAGGCTGCAGAAGAGACGGTTCCCATCAATACATACTTTGAAATTCTTAGATTACTAACAGAATTAATCAGTTTTCAAGTAGATGTCTAACATCATGGACCTTAACGAGGTTCCCTTTCCAGGGAATTTATTGGCCTAATTTTGATTTAAGTTCTACACTAGAATTTGGGTAGCTATGCATGAAAATCCAATGGTCAAAGATGAGCAAGCCAGATCAGAGCAGGGGTATTATCAGATTATCAATAGTTTACAGGATTTCCTCCCACAGGCTCAGTGCTCAACCTTTGTTTTCACCATGAGCATTGTGGTCACACATGTTCCACATACCCTGTGGGCACACCCTTCTCTAGATCTGGTACACTTAACTTTCTCATCCACTCAAGAAAGCTCATTAGACTGCAAGATGAGAAAGGTAGTGCTGCTGGTGAACCAACAAAATTTAGAAGAAAAAAACATCACATCACTCCCAAGCTTTGCTGGGCTCTTAGAGATAGCAGGTTATTTGGATGCACTGGGCACCCGTGTATGCTGTTGCTGTTATTGAGAGCATCCGAGAATAGCAGCTCTCTTAGCAAAGCTTATTTCACTAACTTGCACTTTAATCCTTCACTCACTCAACACGTATTCATTCAGTGAACTTGTACTAGAAGCTAGAGAAGCAGCTGCTCTCTTAGTTTAAAAGAAAATCACAGGTGGGCACAGTTAATCTGTGAAATGTTTCTAAGTGCATGCTATATTGAGCATAGATGTTTCTTAGCCAAGGAAAAGAGCTGGAGCCATAGAAATTAAAGTCCTAAGTGGGGATTCTCCATTGTTCTTATTAATTTGCCAAACCACCCATCGAAGCATTTTGCTCAAAGCCTGTGGTATTTGTGCTGGAAAGGAGGCAAAGTGAGAAATGACTAGGAAGCTGATGTCACAGGGTTATTAGAGAGTTCCAATTTTCACTGTCTGATGCTTTTATTAAAAGGAAGAGAGGGAAAATAATAGATTGTACAAGATACTGATTGGTTGGGCCTAGTAGGGTAGGTAGTCTCTGAAACGTGTGACTTGTATGTATTTATCCTCCGTGAGTCTGCAACAGCATGAGGTCTGACTGGTACCCAGACCCAGGCGCACTGGGTCACCAGCACCCTGCTGCACTGGCCCAGCTCCAGAGCTTTTTCTCCTCCCCAGAATTTGTTTGCAGCCTGGACGCCTCGGATGAGTTTCTGAAGGATCGGGTGATGAACCTCCCTGAGAGCGTGGTGGCAGGGACCCACTACAGCCAGGACCGGTTCCTCCAGGCACTGAGTAACTACCGGGACCTCAATACCGAAGATGAGACAGTCTTCAACTATTTTGATGAAATTGAAGTCCACCCAATGCACATTGGTATGAAATGATCTCCAGTGCTCCCAGCAGATCTGACTAGCGTTCGTGAGGCTGAAGGAGGATGGGGAGGACATGGAACAACTATATGACCGATGGTTCTGGAAGCCACAGATGCACTGGGCACTCTTCCTGGGGAGCCATTTTACTAGGGGATATAATGGTGGGAGGGTGTTCTTATAAGGATAGAGTAGGAATGTCAAATTGGCCTATTTCTGCAAAGCCACTTCAGAGAAATTGTGTTTGCTGCTGGCTGTTTTGACCCAGGTTTCCTGGGCCACTGTACTGTCCTTATTGCAGTGCTGGGCACTGGTGCTCTTCACACTCCCTCCTGGCCTTCCCTCCCCGCCAGCTCACCCCTTAGCCAACAGAAATGCAAATAGCTCCTCATTACATTTTCCCTTGTTTCCTGTAAATCCTCAGTTCAGCACCCAGCAAGCACTCGGGAAGTGTGATGACGTCAGCCTCCTGCCCTGGCTCCAGGTGTCAGTGTCCCTAACTGTTAGAAACAGTTCACCTTGACCTGGTGAACCCCTGCACTCCCTCCTGGCTTTCTGAATTTTGATGCTTCTTCCTCCTCTGGTTTGGGGAGAAACTATCTTCCCCTTGCCTGGTGCAATGCTTACTGGTTAGCCAGATGAGGCAGTATTGGGAGGCTTAGAGCTAAGAGGTAGAAGAGACGGAAGGCAGGAGAGCCCATTCTAGTTCTGACTCGGCTTCAGTTTTCTCATCTGTGAAACAGGAAAACAATCAGACTTGTAAGACTTTTGTTACAAATGGTAATTAAGAAAAAGAAAGTGGTTGGCATATTGAAGGAGTTTGTTATTACTACCAATACTAAAGCACAAGATGATGTACAATTGAGAAATAGAGAGCTGGGCAGGGTGGTACATGCCTGTAATCCCAGCTGCTTGAGAGGCAGAAGCAGGAATCTAACAAGTTTGAGGCCAGCCCGGGTAACTTAGCAAGACCTTGTCTCAAAAGGGCTGGAGAAGTAGTTCAATGGTAGAGCACTTGCCTAGGTCAGCCTGGGCTTCATAGTGATACCCTGTTTCAAAAAAAGAGAAGCCAGACGCTGGTGGCTCATACCTATAATCCTAGCTACTTGGGAGGCTGAGATCAGGGGGATGGAAGTTCGAGAGCAGTCCTGGCAAATAGTTTGTGAGATCCTATCTCCAAAATAACCAGAGCAAAATGAACGATAGAGCACATTTTGCACATTGGCAGTGATTGGATCTTTTCCTCTGCATAATGGACATGTTTTATATGTAAAAGCTAAAAATTCTGTACTTAGTAATATGGAAATTTGTTTACACTATTTAATTAGAGAACTAGGAAAAAACGGTAAATTTCAGAGAAATAGTCATTGTCACCTTTTCATTAAAATCCAAAAAGTTATTTATAGAAAGATCAGGAAAGTCTGAGAAAGAAACCTTGAGACAAACAGAAATGAGCAGGAATAAATGGGTGACCACTGTGTCCCTGTCTCACTCTACACCGTGACATTTGGCCTCATCTCCACACTGACAACCAGGCAGATAAAGTAAAAGTGAGGGGAGAAATGTCCTAAGGATGGAAGTCGGGTAGGTGTCCCCAGGTCAGGAATGTGGCACGGCCTCAGAAGGGTCCAGATGGGACCCTGGACAGATGCTGGGAACCACATTCTCTGCATCTCTGGACGCCACTTTCTCTCAGTGGCTTTTCAATCTTTTCTTCTTCTGGAACAGTGATCTTTTCAGATCAGTGTACTCTTCCTGCTCTCTGGCCCACACAGTGGTGGGTCAAGGCCATCCAACAGTCCTGGAGTTGTCCTGTTGCACTAGGAGTCAAGTTCAGGACTGGACTTGACTCTCTCTGTTCCAATTCCACATTCCTAAAAGGGCCACTCTGCTGGTCAAGGTTTGGTCAGGTACCCACCCGGGCTCCAGCATTAGGATGGATATCGACTGGGGAGAATTGTCCCCCATGGGCTCATCCTCCAGAAATAGAGCATTTTCTCTCTCTCTCTCTCTCTCTCTCTCTCTCTCTCTCTTGCAATACTGGGGCTTGAACTCAGGGCCTACATCTTGAGCCAGCCCTTTTTTGTGATAGGGTCTTTGAACTATTTTCCCAGGCTGGCTTCAAACCATTATCCTCCTGATCTCTGCCTCCTGAGTAGCTAGGATTACAGGTGTGAGCCACCAGCACCCAGCTTACTTTTAAAACCATTTTAGGTCACTTGGTGACATCAAGACTGTAATTAATCAAAGGAATCAGGAAGAAATGCATTTAAATTCCATGGATCAGGCAATGAGGAAGTGGCAGATGTGACTTTATTTTTTTGCTTTTTTAATGACTTACTTCTGCTCACTAATAAGGCACTGACTCTGCCTTTCCCCACTTCCCATGCTAGATTCTCCTGGTGTCTCCAGTCTACACTAAGGTCACACAAGCAGTGGCTGTGGACAGGAGTGGGCAAGCAGTTACCAGAAATAGGTCTGTAAGGTATAGAAATAAAATTTTTCTAAGGCTGGGGGCATGGTTCAAGTGATAGTGGCTACTTAGCAAGTCTGAGCCCTCACTTCAAACCCCACCGCCACCAAAGGAAAAGATTGTTTTTCCAGTACTGGGATTTGAACTCTGGCCTCACACTTGCTAAGAAAGCACTCTACCATTTGAGACGTGTCCCCAGTCCTAAAAAAGGGAAGGGAAAGGGAGAGAGAGAGAGAAGGAGGAAGAGGGAGAAGGGGAGAGAAAAGGAAAAAGAAAAGAAAATCCGGGCATGGTGCCTGATACCTGTGAGAGGTTGAGGCAGGAAGATTGGGGGTTCAAGGCTAGCTTGGGCTACATAGTCTCAAAAAACAAAAACAAAAAAAGCATGAAGAAAAAGGTCTGGAAGGGATCATACCAAAATGATGTGCTCACTGTACTCCATTCTCTGCAGACCCCTTCCAAGAAAACCCAAGAGAGTGGTATGAAATCCATTACTTCAGTGACCTTGGGGAGCTCTGTGTTTTTCAACAAGCCTTTCGACTCCTCCTCCCATACCCCTTTATGTATTATAAATTGCAAATGTATTCCAGTATCATTAACTTCCAGAAACAGCAATTAGGAGCCTCAAAGTCAACACGTGCAGGACCTCTTTTTGTGGAGACCTCTGGAGGGTCTGTCCCAGCCTTTGCTTGAATACTTCCAGGGAGAGAAGCCTTGTTACTTTTGCCATGTTTCTCAGCTTTACCTGAGAAAATGACCTTACCAGGGAGGTTTCAGAGTGCTTGCCGAGCATGCGTGAGGCTCTCAGTTTGCAAACCCAGTACTACAAGTGAATAGAGAATAAAATAAAACTAAAATTGCCAGGTCACAGTTTTAGAGGCTCTACCCCATGGCTAGTTGACCCTGTTGTTTTGGGCCTGTGGTGAGGCAGCAGATCTTGATGGGTGCTCATGCCAGATCAAAGCCACTGACTTGTGCCAGGAGTAAAAGAGAACAGGAAAAATCTGGGATCCCACAATCTGCTATGAGGCACACTGCAGTGACCTCAGGCCCTCCTGCTAGGTGGTGGCTCCACCACCTTCCAGTGTACTACCCTAGGGACTAAGTGTTGAACGCATGGGCCTTTGGAGGACATTCAAGAACCAAACTATAGCATGGTCCACCATTTCTGCATCCATTCACTCAGATCAACAGTGATTATTAGACCGAATGCCCCCAAGCCCAAACCCTCCTATCCATGACTCTCTGCCCATGAGAAGAGGAGACTTGAGTGTGGGAATTTACAAAATGTACTGTCACAAATTTATAGTAATCAAGCATTTTCCTAATTGCAGGCAGGCCTAGAATATAAGCATGTGTTGATCTCTTCTCTCCTGGATATTTAAAGATGTAGGAAAACTTGAAGGCGCTCAGAACAGACTTGTGATCAAACAGCTCATCAAAGAGATTGGTGAGCCTCGAAACTATGGACTCACAGATGAAGAGAAGGCAGAAGAGGAGAAGAGGTTAGTGGAGGAACGCATGGCCAAGGAGGCTGCTGAAGAAGCAAAACGCCTGCACGAGGAGGCCATGGAGACGGCAGAGAAGATAGCCCGCTGGGAAGAGTGGGTGAGTGGGTGAGCGTATGCAGGGGAAGAAATGGAGGCTGACGAAGCTACAGAGGGCAGATCCACTTCCCATCTGCTGTGGAGACACATCATCGGAAGAACCCCCAAACAAGTTTTTGTTGTGCTTTCTTTGGTTCCTTTTTGCCATGTGTACCAGTTTTAAAAAGACATCCATGGTCTTTTTAGTATTAATAACAAAAGTACCCATTGTCAGTGGTGTTAATAATAATCATCTTGGGCTGGTGGAGTGGATTAAGTGATAAAGCACACTAGCAAGCCTGAGGCCTTGAGTTCAAACCCCAGTGCCACAAACTAATAATAATAATAATATACATCTCTGTAAATGTAAAATAGTAATTTTCATCTCTGTAAACGTGTAGCATTTTACTGCATGATGATCTCATGATTTGATTCGATTTTCCTTCATTTGTCCATCTACCCTGGTTGGTCAGGCTCATCCTCCCTTCCTCATTCCCCAAATCTCTAAGTCTAATAAGTGATTCTACCCCCAAAGTTAGCCCCCAAATCCGTTACAGCTCTACACTTCTGACCAAGGTCAGTGTCTTGCCAGAATTACATAGTGCCCTCTGGCTGGGCTCCCAGATCTACCCTGTCCATCTTGGACCTGTTGCAATGCTTCTGCCAGGTGACCCTTCTAAAATGCAGATCAGCCACAGCCCTACTAGTTAAGCCTCTTCTCCAGCTGCCAGCACTGTTAGGGAAACACTCACACTGCTTGTGAGGTCCTTTATGACCTGGCTATGTGTATTATTTCCCAGTTTTAAACTGCGTGACATTACACTTCTCATACCACCTGCATGACTAACTTCCTTATTTGCCACACGTCTTTACAAGAAGTCATCTTTCCACTGAGACTTTTTCTGATTCAGCTCCTAACATCTCCTTTGAAACTGTGAAACTTTTCCTCTTTACACTTATTCTACCTAACGTATTGTTTATTTTATGTATTTATCTTGCTTCTTGCCTTTTCCTGGGCAGAATTTAAGTTGCATGTTGTTATTCACTACTGTGTATTCAGTGACTACAACAGTGCCTGACCTGTAATGGGCACTCGGTGAAGGAAAGATGTCCTTATGCACACACCTGTGGTAACCGATTAACCTTAGAAGAAATCCCTAATATTTTCTACGTTAGACTTGGCATGGTTTAAGCCTGATACATATTTCTAAACTACCCTGTGGCAAGGGTGAAGCAGTTCACACATCATGTTTCCCCATACTTTCTCCAACCCCGCTTTCTCAATTTTGCTCACACACGTTGAGCTGATAAACAAAAAAAACCCATTGTCGTCATACTCATTTCTCTCATCACTCATTAGACCTTTTCTATGGGAGGGGAGGGAAGGGGAGAGGAGGGAAGGAAAGGAAAAATTCCAGTTCATGATCTTCTGAGTGACTAGGTCAATTGGAAATGCCACCTTTACGGTAAGGTGCTGACCGTCTTAGAAGTACCACGTTCTGGTGCGCTCTGCGGCGAGTTGGGTGACACTGTTCCGTGCGTCCTCCCCTTGCTGACCACACACACTCCCCTCGCCCACCTTCCACCGACAGAACAAGCGGCTGGACGAAGTGAAGCGGGAGGAGAGGGACTTGCTGGAGGCGCAGTCCGTGCCCTTGAGGAACTACTTAATGACCTACGTCATGCCCACGCTCATGCAGGGCCTCAATGAGTGCTGTAAGGTTCGGCCCGACGATCCCGTGGATTTCCTGGTAAGATTTGATTGTTCAGTATCATTTTAAGATAAAATATGCCTGCAACTTAACAGAAAGCCAGTTGAGGTAGAGAAAATGTATGTCTAGTTATTTAGGAAATAGTTTCTAATACATTTACAGTAACGTTTTTCCTCTCTCTCTTTCTCTCTCATGTATTCTTACATAAGATTTTTGTTATTCATTTGGAAGCAAGGAATTTATGTGCCTTTATTTTTCAAATTACCGCTGACGGAGTGGCTCAAGTCCTAGAGTGCCAGTCTAGCGGTCAGAAGGTCCAGACTTCAAATTATAGTAAAAGTACAAACATACGACTAAAAATGAGTGCCTTGTAAATTGTTGACCTTTTTCTGTTTTTAATTGTAGGCAGAGTATCTCTTCAAGAACAATCCTGAAACACAGTAAACTTCACAGATCACGTGACTTCAGAGAACTAGAGATCCACTTCACATTATAATTTGAAGTTGCTTTCAAAAATGCTTTTCCAGGTTTTGCATTTTTTTCCCTATAAACAAATATTCTGTTAAGTAGAATCATTATTAAAAACTATATTACAATGACTGACTGCTTCATTAAAACTTTACTTGAAAAGCATGGTGACAAGGCATATGTGCACTGCCCATGGGACAGTGGCTCTGCGTAATCATGGTTATAGCAATTTAACTTGAAGCATGAAGAAAATCAGACTCTACATTAGTCTATCATGTAGGCTAATGATTTTACAGAATGTTACAGCCCCAAGAGCAATGGTGTTAAAAATGGAAATAAATTAGAATGGCTTACGTCTGTCTGAGTCAGACATGATTGGTTTCCGTAAGGCTGCTTTTGTGTGCAGGGCTGGATTCCAGCCATCAAGTCAGAAAACTGGAAACCACAAGGTGGAAAAATTCCTGTGGCAGGGTGAACAATACTATTATTTGAGGTAGAAAGTTGCTAAATATTTTTGACAAGCTAACTTTATAATATATATAGGCATAAGCTGTCGATCCCTATAGTTTTTTCCTAGCTCTAAAATCCCATAAAAATCCTAGAATTATCCTAAATGAAAAATCAGGTTAGGTTTACTTTAATAGCATATGTTTCATCTCTTTCAATTATATAATCTGAATAAAATTGCACTTTATTACCATAAAATGCACATAACATAAAATGTACCTGTGTGACAGGTGCAAAAAAAAAAAAAGTACCAGTGTAAACTATTTTTTTTTTTTTTTGTGGTACTGGGGTTTGAACTCGGGGCCTACACCGTGAGCCATCCCACTAGCCCTTTTTTGTGTTGGGTTTTTTTTTTTTTTTTTGAGATAGGGTCTCGTGAACTATTTGCCCTGGCTGGCTTCAAACTGTGATCCTCCTGATCTCTGCCTCCTGGACAGCTAAGATTACAGGCATGAGCCTGGCTACTTTAATTATTTTTGAGATAGGGTCTTATGTTTATGCCAGGCTGGCCTGGACCTCAGTCCTCCTGTTTGTGCTTCCTATAACAGACACTCCACCATACTCAACTTTTCATTGGTTAGATGGGGTTTCCAGAACTTTTAGCTCAGGCTGACTTCAAGCCACGATTCTCCCTATTTTTGCCTCCGACAGAGCTAGGACTATAGGCGTGAGCCACCATGCCCAGCCAATGTAACTTTTCAAAGCATATCTTCAGTGGTCTTAAGTACACTCCCAATGCCATGCACTCACCACCATCATCTAGCTCTGGAACTTTTAATCACCCCAAAGGAAACCCCATACCCAGCTCCTAGCAGCCACTGAGACTTCTTGCTCTCTGTCACAATGGATTTGCCTATTCTGATCATTCCATATAAATGAAATCAAACAATATGTGGCCTTTGTGTCTGGCTTCTTTCACTTAGCATAATGTTTCAAAGTTCATCGGTGTTGTAGCATGTAATGATACTCCCTTCCTCTTTATAGCTGAATGATATTCACTGTATGGACTTACCACATTTTACTCCGTCATTCTTTTGTTGATGGACATTGGGGTTGTTTCTGCCTTTTGGCTACTGTGAGAACTGCTTATGAACATCAGAGAACAGATTCTTCTTTTTTTTTTTTTTTGAGATAGGGTCTCACTATGTAGCCCAGCTGGCCTCAAATATCCTTCTGCCTTGGCCTACCAAGTGCCAGGATTACAGGCATGGAGTACCCCATCCCCCGCCAGAAATTCTTGTTGAATGCTTGTCAGTTCTTTCGGGTCGATGCGTAGGAGGTGAGTGGCTGACCGATTGTAATCATGTGTAACTTATTGAGGAGCTGCCAAGCTGGCTCCCACCAGCAGTGTATGACAGCCTCCAGTTCTCTGCAGCCTCACCTACACTATTATTTTCCATTTCCGTTTTTATTTTATTTTTTTTTTTTAGTTCTGGGAATCAAATTCAGGGCCTTGCTAAGCAAGTACTCTACCACTGAGCTATACTTCTACCCCCTTGATTGTTTGTTTATTTGTTTATTAAGTTACATCCCCAGACCCGTTTGTTATTATTTCAGACAGGTCTTGCTAAATTGCACAGGTTGGCCTCAAACTTGCCTTAGTTTTCTAAATAGCTGGGATTACAGGCACGTACCAGTATGCTTCGTCTTGGTGGTACTAGGGTTTTGAACTTGGACCTACACTTGCTAGGCAGATGCTCTGTCATTTCAGCCATGCCCCCCAGCCCTTTTTTGCTTTAGTTATTTTTTGGGTAAGGTCTCTCATTTTTGCCTAGTGCTAGCCTCAGACCATGATCCTCCTAATTGTGGCCTCCCACTTGGCTGCAATCACAGGTGTGCACTACCAGGCCTGGCGTATTGATTGAGATGGGGACTCAGTAACTTTTTGCCTTGGCTGGACTTGAACCTTGATCCTCCTGATCTCTGCCTCCTGAGTAGCTAGGATTAAAAGCATGAGCCACCACACCCAGCTGTTTGTTTATTTTTATTTTTATAGTAATTCTAGTGGGTATGAGATGGCACCATATTGTAACTAAGCAATATTTATATTTGTTGGTGCTGGGGTCGAGCCCAGGGCTTTGTGTATGCTCAGCACACAACTACCACTGAGTCAATAGTACCCTTTAATGCATGGAAATCTTTTAATTTTGATGAAATCCAAGTTACCTATTTTTTCTTTGTAATTTTCAACAATTTGAAGTCATTAGTCTCTATAATAGTTACATTTTCAGACCTTCATTTCATGACCTTGTTTCTTTGTTCACTGAAAAACCCCCCAGGAATCAAGAGAACACTTGTACATCATCGCCTACAGACCTCTTTCTGCCTTCACTTCTGCTGCAGGAGGACCGTCTGTGCTCCTTCCTGTCTATGGCAGCCTTGTGCCCTGGATCCTGTCCCTTCCCATATCGTTGATTCTGCTCTCATAATTGTCCCTTCTCTCTAGTAACTTAACTTTTCTCTTAGTTCTGAATCTTAGCTTCCATACTTGAAAAAAAAAAAGAAAAAATAGTAAAACATCACATCTGCCTCCAACACTGGCTCCAGTATTCTGCTCCCCTTTCTAGCAAGGTTACTAGTGAAGCATACATTTTCAAATCCCATGGTCCTCACCTTACTTGGCCTCTCATACCATCAGACACATCATCTTTTCCTGCTTGAATCTGTTGAAATTGTTCTAAGAAGGGGGAGGGGACAAGGGAGAAGGATGGGGCAGGGTAAATGTAACTAAGTTATATATTGTGAGAATATATGTAAATATCACAATGTATGGTTCTTGCTGGGCACCAGTGGCTCATGCCTGTAATCCTAGCTACTCAGGAGGAAGAGATCAGGAGGATCGTGGTTCAAAGCCAGCTCGGGCAAATAGCTCATAAGACCCTACTGCAAAAAAAAAAAAAAAAAATCACAAAAAAGGGCTGGTGCAAAAAAAAAAAGTATTCCCCTTTTATTATATGCTAATAAAATTTTTAAAAATAAACTTTGTTTTTTTTTTAAATCTTGGGCTTGTGGAGTGGCTTAAGTGTTAAGAACACCTGCCTAGTAAGTGTGAGGCCCTGAGTTCAAACCCCAGGGCCAAAAAAAAGAAAGAAAAAAAAATCTTGGCAAATTCACTATGGAGTCTAGTTCTCAGCTGTGAGTGAAGAGATCTCAGCAAGCAGGACATCATGTCCCAGCTACCCAAGTGGCTGAGATGGGAGCACCACTTGAAGTCAGGAGTTTGAAGCCAGCTGGGGAAACATAGCAAGAACCATCTCCAAAACAAAAAGTACAAGAAAGAGTGATCTCAGCGGTTTCTGGATCAGTTTCAGGGCCCTGTCATATGACTTGTCTTCCCTGGTTTCCTAGGAGACCAGGAGCAAAGGCAGAGTACCAGTTTATTTACAGTGAGAAACAACCATCAGATGGGCTGGTCCTTGCACTCCCTTCGCCAGGACATTCTCTTCCCAGAAACAGATTCTTTGAGAAGTTACATGATTACAAGCGCTTGGGAATGCAAAACCAGGACAAGGCAATAGCCTCTGCTAGCTGGCTGGTCCCGTCCTTCTTGACCAAGTGCATTTTCCCAGTTTGTGTTTAGATAGATAGGCAGTGATCATTTTTGCCTCTGTGACTCTCCCTGACATATTCCCTCTACCTGACCTAAACAACTTTAGAAAGAGAGAGAGAGAGAGAAGAATGCACAGATCAAAGCAAGGGCAAACATTAAATCCTGTAGCTCCATGTCCAACAGATGGAGCACATGGTGCCATGATGTGACTCCATAGGCTTGGACACTCACACCCCGATGACTTTGCCATTTTCAATTTACATGGTCTGTCTTTGGGGCTGGCTCAACCCATTGCCTGCAGTTTTCCCCATCAAACATTCACATTCCTGGCACCTCTAGCATCCATAACTTAGGCTTCACCCTCACAACCCCGCAAGCCCGGCCTCCCAGGTCTTCCTTTGAAATCTGAGTGGAAACCTATATGACCCCTTAACACTTGGATTTTCCATATCTGTAAAGCCAGCATCATGTGGATGACACCAAAGTCTGCCATCAACTCAGGCTAGCTGGGCCTCTGTTGAACATGGCAGCAGCAGCCTCTGAGAGCCTGGGTGGATGAGCACAATGAAACAAATCCTGGGGAAACTTCCTAGGTGGCCCTGTTCAGAGCAGAGTGCCCCTGAGGTGCTCTCAAAGGAAAGTTTTTCAAATGAGTTCACTCTTTCATACCTTTGAGCCTGCCATTGGTGGGGTCTAACCAATTCCTGAGATGCTCTCCAGGAATCCTTCCTATTGTCCTGATGTAAATTATGTGGCTTCTTTTATAATGGCATTAATTTCTTGAGAAACTAGGTCTTCCTTAGCCCCAACTTTGTTTTGTTTGTTTTCTTTTAAAAGTAACTTTTTTTAAGTTAAAATGTGCAGTCCAGGAAACAAAAACACAAAGCAAAGAACAGAGTCATCCATAGCCACAAGCAGT